CATTTGCCATGAACACATTTTATTTATTTTTAATATTTTACTTATTTTTAGAGGAAGCGGGGAGAAAGAGGAACATCAATGCATGAGAGACACATTATCAGTTGCCTCTTGTGAGCCCTCTACTGGGGACCTGGCCCACAGCCCAGGCATGTGCCCTGACAGGGAATTGAACAAGCAACCTTTCAGATCACAGGCCGGCACTCAGTCCACTGAGCCACACCAGCCCAGGCCACCATGAACACATTTTAAAGACCTTTCACTGCAGTCCCACATAATGTGCTTGTATCATCAACCAGCATAAGCCACGTTAGCACCAGTGATTTGGGGAGATGAAGAGTAACCGGGCGCACCTGTCACCCTGATGAAAAAAGGAAGAAGGACAGGAGATTGGCAATCTCTGTAACACGTTATACAGATGAGGAAACTAAAGCTCAAGAGAAGTAAATCGCTAGTGTTCGTGAACTGGAAAGTAGGAAAATGTGAACGGGAAAGAAGGAAAAAAGGCGAGAACCCAGATCAGTGGATCTGCAGAGCCCCAACCTGCAACCCAACATGTGGCCTCGAGCTGAAGACACGTTACTGGACGTAGTGCAGTGTCTGAGCTCTGGCTGTAAAGGGGCTGTGCGTACTCCAGGTGCGGTGAGGGGAGGTACCGTGTCTCTGCTGCCGTGTGTCTGCTCATTGCACAGAATGTCAACCTTGGTTGAATGAACGGTTGAGAAAGGAGACCATGGGGTAGAAAGTGAACTTGATCAAATCTTGGCAGTTAAAACATGAAGATTACGGTAGATTAAATCCAAAAATGCCCTCCTATCCTGTAGGGTCACAGACACAGGGAGTGTTGCTGTTTTGGAGAGAAGAATTTGACCCGGCAAACGTTTATTCCACATTTAACCTGTGCCAGGCACCGCAGAAGGTGGTTGGGATGGCCCAGCAGACAAGATGCAGTCCCTGCCCTTGAAACCTCACAGTCTAGGACTGGAGGAAGAAGAGTGCTGAAGCCACGCCCAGTCACTTGGTCGTCGATCAGACAGTGCTGGCCTGACCACTTCCTTGGGCCCTTTCTCTGCCGCCTGCCACATTCTAGGGCCGCAGCTTGGCCACTCTTGAACTTTGAGCTACTACTCCCTTTCATCATAATCCTGGGGAAAGGGTCACCTAAATCCTTCAAATAAGTCAGAATCAGTAAATGCCTTTACATATTCCATTCCCAAACAGCTGGCTTTTTTCCTAAGCAAGTCATGGAGTTTATTCGACCACATCTCACCACCTCTGCCCTCCGCCTCCACTGCCCTAGTACTGTACAGATCACAGCCCTCTCTGTGTGTGGGGCTCGGCAGATTTCTCCTACATTACTGCCTTACCGGCCCTGCCTTCGCTTGCTTACCTTCAGTGTCTCTACCTGGGGGAAGATTATTTTTAAATAAATTACACCACGCCCCTTGTCTTCTCTCAGCGGTACTCAGTCCGTGCCAGACACTATTCAACTTCCCTACATACACACCTCTTCTCAGTGGTCTTTGCAAGGCAGTGTTCTCCCATTTTTAAATGGGGAAATGGGGTTTTCAGCAAGACCCAAATGTGCTCTACTCTGGGATGAATCCAAGAGAAGCGCCACTAACGACTCTCTGGCAACTTATGGTTAGGTAAACATGAGAGATGTGTGACCTTTTAAGCCAGACATTAAAGGGATTTGCAAAAAAAAGTAAAAAGCTGCCACTCTTCTCACTAATTTATTTTTGGTTTGGGAAAATTGTTATTTTTAATTAAAACAATATTTATGTTAACATAGGAAGTTTTTAAATACATTTTTAAATTCAGTTTCAGTAGGTAAATATTTGACCTGTTGTCAATTTGAGTAGGTAAATATTGGCTGATATAATCCACATAGACAAAAACATTCGGAGTCCCCAGTTTTTGGAATGTCAAGTAAAGGATCCTGAGACCCAAATGTTTGAGAACTGCGGATGTAGACTAGCTCCCTCCTGGCAAGCTGTATGTACTACGTCTGTTTTCTGCCGGGCGCAGTGCTGCATGCTGGGAATACCCGTGAAGGAGACAGGCCTCACTCTCGCGGAGCTCGCGTTCCAGCTGCTGTGTGCAAGTGCGTAAGGCAACCCAGTCGATGAAGAATAACACCAACAAAATAACTGCAGACGATGTTGCGATGCTCTGAGGAAAATTCCACAGGGTAGCCCTGGCTGGTGTGGCTCAGTGGATTGCATGCTGGCCTGCGGACCGAAAAGTCACCAGTTTGGTTCCCAGTCAGGGCACATGCCTGGGTGGTGGTCCCCAGTTGGGGGGTGTGAGAGCCAGCTGAGAGGCAACTGATCAATCTTTCCCTCTTTCTCCTCTCTAAAAGTAAATAAATAAAATCTTTAAAAAAACAAAACAAAACAAAACACTGTAGTGGCTGAGAGTGTGGGGCTAAGACCGAAGCTAGGAAGAGGAGCTTTGATCTGATCTGAGACTGACAGGCAAAGGGAAGCCCCGGCTTTTCCCCTGACCACTCCTGCCCTGCCTCCCGCACTCTGGCCCCGCCGGCTTTCCCGTGGTTCCTTAAACACATCAGGCAGGCTCTTTCTTCAGGGGGCCCTCTGCCTAGAACTCTTTCCGAGTTAAATTTTCTCTCCTGTCACTCCAGGGCACATCTCCCTGGAAAGGCCTTTTCCAACCACCTATCTCAAACCTATCACTAGCAGTCCCCTGATGGGGATACATTTTTTTGGTCTTAGCACATATCTCTACGTGAGATATATATATATATATATATACACACACACACACACGAGGGCAGAGGGCAGAGACTTGGAGTGATCGCTACAACACGCAGATCATTAAACAGTACTTGCATTGTCACACATGTACCTGGGAAATTAAATATAGTAGAACTACATTTACCTTGTGAGAAGATGAATAATCAGCTGTTAAAGAGCAAGTTATTGAAATATTAGCATAGTAGGAGGGATTACAATACCCTATATCAAACTACCAGTGTACTACAAGGCCACTGTAATCAAAACAGCCTGGTATTGGCATAAGAACAGACACATAGACCAATGGAACAATGGAGCCCAGAAACAAACCCAAGTCTCTATGGCCAATTAATATTTGACAAAGGGGGAAGAAGCATAAAATGGAGTAAAAATAGCCTCTTCAACAAATGGTGTTGGGAGATCTGGACAGCTACATGCAAAAAGAATGACTCAATCACCAATTTACACCATACACAAAAAACAAATTCAATGTGGATAAAAGATTTAAATATAAGTCGCGACACCATAAAAGTCCTAGAGGAAAAAACAGGAAAATCTCACACTTTCCATGCAGCAATATTTTCACCCATATGTCCCCTAGAGCAAGGAACATAAAGGAAAGAATAAACAAATGGGACCTTATCAAATTAAAAAGCTTCTGCACGGCTAAAGAAAACAGCATTAAAATGAAAAGAGAATCAACTGTATGGGAAAACATATTTTCCAATGATACCTCAGACAAGGGTTTGATCTCTAGAATATATAAAGAACTCACTTGACTCCACTGCAGGAAGACAAACAACCCAATTAAAAAAAAATGGGCTAAAGACTTGAACAGACACTTCTCCAAGGAGGACATAAGAGTGCCCAGAGACATATGAAAAGATGCTCAGCATCACTAGCCATTCAGAGAGATGCAGATTAAAACCACAATGAGATACCACTTTACACCGGTCAGAATGGCGATCATAAACAAAGCAACAAACAAGTGCTGGCGAGGATGTGGAGAAAAGGGAACCCTAGCGCACTGTTGGTGGGATTGTAGAGTGATGCAGCCACTGTGGAACACAGTATGGAATTTTTTCAGAAAACTAAATGGAACTGCCTTTTGACCCAGCAATTCCACTGCTGGGATTACATCCTAAGAACCCCAAAACATCAATTCAAAAGAACCTTTGCACCCCAATGGTCATAGCAGCACAATTCACAATAGTCAATTGCTGGAAGCAACCTAAGTGCCCATCAGTAAATGAATGGATAAAAAAAACTATGGTACATTTACACAATGGAATTCTATGCAGCAGAAAGAAAGAAGGAGCTCCTACCCTTCAGGACAGCATGGATGGAACTGGAGAGCATTTTGCTAAGTGAAATAAGCCAGGCATTAAGGGACAAATCCCATATGATCTCACCTTTAAGTGGAACCTAATCAACAAAACAAATAGCAAGCAAAAATATAGCCAGAGATGTTGAAATTAATAACAATTTAACCAGAGGGAAAGTGGGAGGTGATAATGGGGGCTGGGAGAGGGGAAGGGTTTTCAGGAACAACTATAAAGGACACCTGGACAAAACCAAGGGTGGGGGGAAGCAGGGGAGGGAGGTGGGGATGGCTGGGGAGGGAGGGTCTGGTGGGGAGGTAAATGCAGACAACCGTACTTGAACAATAATTTTTAAAAAAAATAATATATATTAGCGTAGTGACTCTCGATCGGATAGAATAATCATCTAACAGACACAGTGCCAGGCACACAGCTAGAGAGCCTCAACGATGTTAGCGTTTTTGTTACCTCTCTCCCCAGAGGGAATTATACGCACAGTGACTGGATTAGTAATCGGTGCACCGTGAGCTGTCAGTTAACGTTGGTGGAATGAACCGGGCCTCCATCCCGGTGCAGCGGGTACACTGCACCCGGAGAAAGGCTCAGCCAAACTCACTCCGAGAGTCAGGGGAACAATCCGGCCCCGCACAACAGTATCCTGCCTCCCGAGGGAGAGCTCGGTCCAAACGCATTTACTGATTTTTCTTCCACAAGACTGTGTCCAACCCGCCCAAAGCCCTCAAGTCTCAAGAAGAGTAAAAGAAAAAGCCAGGAACCCAGCGCGCCGGGAAAGGGGAGGCCTACGTACCAAACACTCGGTTTCCCTGGCGCCCAATAGACAAACTCCGTACTTTCGGACCGTCACGTGATCACGAGCGTCACGTGGCGGGGCGGGGCCTCAGCTGCTACGCAAGCGCAATGAGCTTTTACTCGCCATTTCAGAAATGGCGGCTCCGCTGGGCGGTATGTTCTCCGGGCAGCCTCCCGGACCCCCGCCACCGCCGCCGGGAATGCCGGGCCAGGCTTCACTTCTTCAGGCCGCGCCGGGAGCTCCGAGATCTTCTCCGAGCACCTTGGTGGATGAGTTGGAGTCATCTTTCGAGGTAAAAGGAGAGGCGGCGTCTCATCCAGCCTCCCTTCTTTCCTGAAGTGTAAGCTGCGCACGCGCAGGTTCTCTCTCGCCGTGATCCCGCTCCCGGTTTACAAACGGGGAGACTGGCTCCGAGAATGAGAGAATGCCTTGCTGTAGTCTCCGCCGTGAGTGGTGGCCAGCAGTCCGCTCCGGTCTGCCGGCGGAGACGCGTCAACTTGACGTTTCTGGTGGCACGTGGGCTTGCAGTTTGCACACCCTCAACTTTGGGACCGTTCCAGGTTCCCAGCCACCTGAGCGCGTCCCGGCTCGTTCTTTTCCCGTCCCTGACCACCTTTTGCGGCGTCTCAGCGTGTTGAGTCCGGCCTCCCCTCCAGAGCTCACCTTTCCGCTGGACTCCGCTCTTACGGGGTCCTGAAGTCGTGGGACTTGGAGCCGAAATGTTCTTAAAAGTTGTGCGGGCCTTGATACGAAGGGCCGAAAGGGCCGAGGGAGGAGGAGAGTCTGGGGTCGGAGGGGAAGAGAGGCAGAGCGGGCCCAAAATAAAGAGTTTGCCCCAAGGAGTGTACCCTGCAGCTGGGAAGATGGGGAATGATAGCAGACAGAAGAGAGGTAAAAATGAGGGCACTGGTTGCTTCCCGTGGTCTGTCTAAAGGGGAAGACGAGCCATTAGTGTGTGGAAACGAGGAACCTTTTCAACTTCTTAAATCCTGGTCACATGAGTTTTGTGCTGTGCCCGTATAGTAGCACAGCAGCGCATGGGTCGGTTTGTAAATGAATGTATTACTGGGGACGCGTGGGCAGGGTTCCTTTGCTGATGGAGTGTACGTTCAGAAGTTTGGAGGTAGCTGATTTAAAGGTAGTGAGTCACAAAGGAGAGGGACAGGTAGGCTTTAGAGCAGCGTCTAGCATTGAGGCGAGGCGGCTCTCACTCTCACTGAGGGGCTTGCTGCAACACTGGCCCTGAAGAAGCCGTGGCCAAAGCTGACCCCCAGCACCCTGGTGCTTAAACAACCCCGTGGTCTCCCTCTGGCCACACAAGCCTTTTCCACCCGGGCCTTTTGATTTCCTGCGGGCTTCCAGGCCCCACCTCCCAGCTCACACATTGCTCACCAGGCTCTGAAGTCAGAGGCCATGCAGCCCCCTGAACCCCACCTTTTTCTCCCAGTTTATTGGTAGTACTAACACAACCTAGCATGTAGCAGATGTTTATGCATGCATGTTAAACTATAAAGGAGCCTGTTGTGTGTCAGGCCCTGCCCTGGGTGCTAAGGACACAGAGACCAGTCTTTGTTTCCAAAGAGCTAGGGACAGCAGTCTTTGTTTCTGCACAGTGTGGGGAGCAGATAAAAATGGCAGGCAGTTGCCGTGCTGTCGGATCAGTGCTGTGATGGAAGCAGCCTGGGACTCGGTCAGGGTGTGGCTGTCAAAGAAGGCCGTCTAGAGAAATGAAAGCCAAACGGGCATTGGGACCTAGTAGCCGAATGGGGGTGGGAGGTGCCGCTCGGACCTCCTCTGGCGTCGGGTGAGCATCCCCTAGTCCTCTGTCGAGACTCAACTCACAGGCCACGTGTTCCTGTCCCGTTCCCGTTCTTCCATCCACCCGGACCTCTGCTCCATTGCCTCTGGTGGCACCTGCCCGCCCACTCTTCATTTCTCTTTTGGTGCCGCCCACGAGGTCTCTGACTTGGTCGTTCTAGTTGCTTTGTAAATAAGTGCTCCTTGGTGCAATGAGTTTATCACAGTCGTGTACTCTTGTTGTGGGAGGGAACCTTGAAGAGCATCCCGTCCTTTTACAGATGGAGGCTCAGAGAGGGGGATAGCTTGCCAGACCCTCAGTGTGTGGAAATGAGCCCACCGTTCGGGCCTCCTGACTTTCTGGGCAAAGACTCTGTCTTCGGCATACTTCTAAAAGTCTTATTCTTTCCGTAGACCACCACACATTTTCTTCTCTGTTCACCCACCCAACTCTCTACAAAGGTGTATGTGTTTAAATTTTTTTTAAGGGGGAGATGAGGATACTAAAATTCCTGAGACCAGGTCTCCTCCCACCCTGGCTGGTGGGCCTCCTGGGTGGGATGTTGTCCAGCAGCCACAGGATGCACGGAGCAGGGCCACCCTCCTCATACCGCACATCCAACAGCAGCCATCTCTCGGAGTGTTACACAGAATGGGAAGTCCGTGTTTCCTGATGCACGAAGCAGTTGCAGGATTGGCCTAGGGGAACCCTGTGATTTTTCTCTGTAAATCAGATGGTAGCAGCTGTAGGCAGGAGGGCCCTCACCTCTAGGCGATGGCCTGACTGGGGCCCAGATCTGCTTGCCTCACGCCCAGTGCCCACTACCCACTGCCAGCCCAGCTCACTTTCCCCGAGGTGTGAGGCTTCCTCTCTGGCCCGCTCCCCCAGCTCCCCTCCCGCCCTCTCTCTGGCCCCACTGCCCTTTGTTAGGCCTTCGTTGTTTGTAGGACTCCCTGGCTGAGTCACATACACACCTGGATCGTCATCCCTGTAGACAGAACTCTCTCTCTGGGACTTGTTTGTCCATGTGACACCTGCCTGGTTCTCTAGGGCCGCCCAGTCAGTCCCCAGTGTGTGTTTACCGAGCACTGCACACGGCGCCGAGGGAGCAGGCAGACCCCCCACCTGCCAGTAGGGGCAGCTGACCAGGGACTGAAAGAGGGGAATGGTGTCAGTTAGCTGCGTGCAGAACCACAAAGCTTGGTGTGGGGACAGTGCATGAGCAGGAGGGGTGCCATCTCAAAGGAGCTGAGAGCCACAGTCTCTCCCAGTGGGTGATGACCGACCTGAGCCCTGACCGGGTGGCACAAGTCACGTGAGCAGGGGAGGGCGGGGCCGTGGGTAGGACTGGAATAGGGGGCCAGCCCTGGCGTGCAGTGAGAGAGTGGGGGAAGGATGGAGTGGCGGGAGCGAGGCCGGTGGGGGTGCTGGCAGTCCCGGCTGCCTCACTCCCCGCTCTCCCTCCGAGGGCCTCATGGAGTCAGTCGCCGAGTTTCCTCACTGGCGTGATGTCTGGGGTGCAGACCCAGATCCTGTCAGTGCACTGAATGACTTCAAGCGAGGTTATTTCTTACCCCGAAGTAAGATTTTGACGTGCGAGTGACAATTTTTTGTGTGTGTGTGATCTCTCTTGATCAAACAGGCTTGCTTCGCTTCTCTGGTGAGTCAGGACTATGTGAATGGCACGGATCAGGAAGAAATTCGAACTGGTAAGAATTTCCTCTTTTTGGACAATGTTCTTGCCTTGAGCAAGATTCCCGATTGCTAATTTGACCCCTGACCCGTTTCAGTCCTGCTTGTATCCTGAGAGAGCTGTGCTGGGGGTAACATCCGTGCAGATCCGGTCTCCACACTGCTGCTTCTCTGTTCGGTGGTTCATTGACATCCTGCGTCAGTCAGGATGAACCACTTCTGGTGGACCTTTCATAGTGGTGTTGGGACGAGGAAGACCAATAGGGTGCACTGCTTTTCAAAACAAGCTTTGATTGTGTCTTGAATAGGTGTAAGTTTTCTATACTTCCTCCTCCTTGCCCAAGTTCTCTCCCTGGAGGTGACCAGCACTCCTGATTTCGTTGTCCTGTATTTTCAGTGTTACATTTTACCTGGGATCATGCTACTCGCTGGAACTTGATTGTCTTTTTTCAGAAGAACTTGGTGGTGTAGTAAGGTCTCTTATTCGCCTGATAAAAACGCAGATTATTTGCTGTTCACCTGATAAAAACGCAGATTATCTGCTGTTCACCTGATAAAAGCACAGATTATCTGCTGTTCGGTGCAGCAGTGTGGAGGGCTGGGGGCCAGTGTTACTGCGGTGGCCGGGATTAAAGTCCCAGGTCACATCTGTGAGAGAGTGGGGTTGTGATGTTCTGACTGTTCGTGTATGAGGGAGATATTCATGCCTAGTATTTTTCTTGATTTAATGTTTTTTTTTTTTTAAGGTGTTGATCAGTGTATCCAGAAATTTCTGGACATTGCAAGACAGACAGAATGTTTTTTCCTGCAAAAAAGGTTGCAGTTATCTGTCCAGAAACCGGAGCAGGTTATCAAAGAGGTACGAACTCCCTTTTCTCCTCACTTTTCAGGAAGAGTCCCTATTGGCAGGATTCCGTCTATGCTTTAGATGGTTTTCAGTGAAAGCCCTTCTGCTAAGGTCTGGCTGTGCAGGTTGGGAAAGGGTGTTGCTAGGTGTCAGCGTTCACGACGACCTGGACAAGTGGTGGAGGAGCGGGTGGTGGCCAAAGCAGGGCTCCAAACTGCAGTTTCACGCACTGGCTTTCACGGAAGGTTTTTCTTAAAGGAAAGGTTCTGCTGCGTGAAAAGTGTTAAGAGCCATTAGTGTAGACGATAAGCTCACTCTGGACGGGAACCAGGACCTGCGTCTCCCAGTTGCCTTGCACAGTGCTCTGTACACAGGAAGGGCTTCGTCAGACTTCGTTCAAGAATTAGGAGTTCACGTTCTATCCCAGGCTCCTTGAAGCTCAGGATTTCATCTCCCTCACTCGTTCGAAACCAGGGCGTTCGGACTTGTGTTGGGGTTGCCAGGGTGACTGGAGGCTTCGGGGCATTTAGCACGTGGGGCCAGGCCTGTGCCTGCGTGGGGGAGAGGGGAGGAGCATCCTGCCCGGAAGGCCGGCGGTGCAGCCACTGAGAAACACTAAATTGAGATGGTTGTTTGGGGGGCAGTTTTTGCAGTAACTGCTCCCACAAGCTGACCAATTTAAAAGGTGGTTCTTACTCGTTGATATCAACTATGGAGACGGAGAATGGAGGGTGGAAAGGTGATATCCATACGGTTCATCCTGCCAGATCATGTCCTGGTGTGAATGCCTGAGTAGTAACATAGGTGTGCTCAGGGCAGGGCTTGGTAAAGAATTACAGTGCTGGTGTTCATTGCAAAAGCTCTTGAAAATGAGGCCAGAACAGTTAGAACCGTTAGAACTGTGGGTGTGGGTTCTTGTAAGTAGTTGTCGCGTGTGTTTCAGATTCGCTGTGGTTTGGTTCCTCAGCAGTTGTCTTGGGGGAGGTGCTGAGTGCCTGGGGTGGGGTGGGAGGGAGATGGGTTTCTTTTGGCTGCTCTTGGGTACTTTGGAATATCGGAACTTGAGTACTTACTAAGAGAAAATGAATTAAAAATGAAAGCTGTTATTGTGAGGCAGACGTCTGCCACTGGAGGAGTCGCATTGGGTTATTCACATGGTGGAGCCGAGCAGAATAATGGGCTTAAAATGGTGTAGTCGATTTTTGTTTTGAATTACTTCTTAGTGTCCTTAGTTATTCAGGAGCTGCATTCACTTTCCACGAGTTTGCTCTGACTTGACCGCCTCCGTCTGCAGGACGTCTCGGAGCTGAGGAACGAATTGCAGCGCAAGGATGCTCTGGTCCAGAAGCACTTGACCAAGCTGCGGCACTGGCAGCAGGTGCTGGAGGACATCCACGGGCAGCACAAGAAGCCACCCGACATCCCCCAGGGCTCCTTGGCCTACCTGGAGCAGGCGTCTGCCAACATCCCCGCGCCCATGAAGCAGACCTGAGGCAGAGCCGGCTGCAGAGTGAGCGGGCGCGTGAGTCCGCGCACACACGGTTGTTCGTGCTGGGCGTCACGTCTGGGTGGTGTGGCGTTTTGCAAGAACTCTGCCAGAGGGCGAGATAGATGACTTTGGTCGCGTGCCATCGGTAAGATTTTCCCCGTATTTTTATAAGCTCTTATTTTTTATTACTCTAGAAAATGCCCATAGCGTTTGTAAACCAAGTGAATGTTTTTGTTTTTAGCAAAAGTTGGTATGATGCTACCAACATTCCTTTTTGTTCCTTTTTTCTGTGTTTTTTAAAAATAATTTTTGTGTTTAACTTTTAATCTCTGTTTCCAGTTTTAGATGAATTTGTATCATCTGAGGGAAAAACAGTATGTATGATGATCTAGGAATCAGAGGGTGAGGATTTGGGTTATAAGTCTTTCATGTTAATCATCACTCTCTCCCCTTGTGCTAGTTTGTAAAACTGTGTGAGTTTGCTGTGTGTGTTTCAAGGCTTTGAACTACCTCAAGAAGAGGAATCTAATGCAGTGATGTTTGTAACGCTTCCAGAGCTGCTGGAATGGGGGTGTTTGTAAACGGGGGGGTGGGGGTGGGGGGGGCGGGTCCTACTGCAGGGGCCTAGGTTAGGGCAGCAGCACTGCAGTGGGATCTTTGAGTTGATGTTGACTTCTCTTTGGGATGAGTTTATATTTTGTGTCTTGCTTGTTTACTTTGGGGGGGGGAGCTGTAGTAGGAGCTGTGACATGCTGATTGTTTTTCTGTTCTGCAGTCATGAACCCGTTTACATAACACACCCAACCTGCTCTCAGTAACGCGACTCGGGCAGCGGGGAAGTGTGCGGGTTAGAGCTCACTGTGATATAGTCTCTTTCTGTTGGAGTTCTGTTAGCTGGTGTTCTTTGTGTTTTGCTTTTCAGGAGCAGAAATTTCCCACTAAGGAAGGTTCTTGCTAATGGATGGCACTGATTCCAAGGGCCAGGGCCTCGGGGTGGGGAGTGGCCTGCAGGCTGGCCCTGGGTGACTCACTGTCCACAGAGAGCATGTCTGGGAAGGTGTGTTAGCTTCTTGCTGGTCACGCAGGGCAACACGATTCTTCATTGACCTGCTGCTGTGTGTGGCTCTCCCTGAACCGGCTTTGGTCCCTGACTGACTTACACGCCTGTACGCGCCACTGCCTTTTGGACAAGCAGTGCCTCTGGGGCTTGGATTCCTGACTCCCTTTGTTTTCTCCAGCCTTGGAGGCCCCTCCCCACCCTCTCGACTCCCACTCCTCCCACCCCTCCCACCCCCGGTGCCGGTCTGGCCTGGCTGCCCCCTGGCCGCTGACGCTCCTAGGTGCTCTCTGCGGCCCCCCAGACACAGGCCTCCTGTCTCCTACCAGCCTGGCTTGGTGCCCCCCCAGGGTTAGTGATTTGCATTGGTCTCTGTGCCCCTCACGGGGATTAGGCATTATTTTCCCCTGAACCTATCGGGATCGTGTGTTATTGACGTTTTCCACGTAGACTGTTACCCGCTGTGTGTGTGTGGTGCACAGGTGGAAGCCTCCGGACTCCCTCAGTTCTTAAACTTCTAAGCATTGTTTTTTCCCACACGCGATTTCAAGGTTGTTAGCCTGGTCATCTCACACTAATTAGAAGCTCGATTGGCAGCCTTAGGTTTATTCATTAAAAACCTAAATAAACTGATTAAGTTTTAGGCATCTCTCAATAATCAGGTCGTTGGTGTTTCACTGGGTGCTTAGTGAAAATATTTTGAATTAATGCATATATCAGTTACTGCCATTGTTTGTTTAAAAAAATCTGGAAAATAAATTTTTAATCTTGTCTGTATGTAAATATCTCTTAACTTTTAATGACATCTTGCTGGTTGGAGATCGTAGAAAACCTTCCTTCAGTGAGAAAATTACGAGAAAACATCTGGGATTTCCCTCCTCTTAATGGCATTGTGGGAAACCTACCCCCACTGCAGGGCATCTCTCCCCTGCTGCTCCACCTGCTGAGGTGCCACCCCCGCCCTGTGTAAAATAAGGCCAGCGGTTCCGCCCGCCCCAGCCGGTTGCCTTCTCGGGGTCTTAACCCCTCAGCCCCTGCGCCATCCACCTACTGGAGCCTGGAGCGTCCTGTGCTGCGCACAGAGTTCTTGACCTCCCGGCTTCTACGGTGCCCTCCAGGCTCCAGCAGCTGCCCCTCATCCAGCCTCCAGCTCCTCCCCTCCCTGCCCCACACCCACAGTCTCCAGCTCCTCCCCTCCCTGCCCCTCATCCAGCCTCCAGCTCCTCCCCTCCCTGCCCCTCACCCGCAGTCTCCAGCCTCTCCCCTCTCCTTTCCACTCCAGGCTGCCATCTGTCCCTCCCGTGTGACCACCCCTGTGCTGGTGACAGTTGCCAGCCACTTCACTGTGGCCGTATCAAATGGACACTTCACCTTCTTTACTTGAACTCATTCTCTTGAAAACACCTTCCCGTTTCTGTTTCCTCTCCTGCACGACCCCTGAGTGTCAGCCTTCCTGTTTGGTCCCGGGCTCTGGGGGCCACAGGAGTGCTGCCCAGTCCTCTCCAGAGACCCGTGGCGGGGGGTGCAGTTACCAAAGTTCCCGCCTTCAGGGACCCGCTGCAGCCATGCTCTCCCTGGCGGGACCCGTCTGCCCGACACAGGTCTCCCCTGGGGGGCGGTCCTTGCCCTGGAGCTCCACCAGCCTGGCCAAGACTTCCTCGGAGCTGTGCTTTTGGCCCAAACCTTCCTCGGCCCTCCTTCCACAACCGTCAACCCTGCTTCCTAGTCCCCAGGCTCTTCCTGGCCTCTGCTTCCTCTCCTGCTTCCCTCACGCAGGTGCTCCCCCTGAGACGGGGGTGGGAAGGGAGCCTGTCCGGGCTTCTGGACACCTGCCCAGCACGGCTCGGCCCTGGTGGGCACAAACGGTCCCCCACGCCAACCTCGGTCGCTCTGAGTCCAGGCGAAGCAGTGCGAGAGCACTTTGTAGTTGTGTCTACACCGAAAACCCAAGTGGCTGTGCTGTCCCCAAACAACCACGTATCCTTGTGGCTGAAATGGGTTCCTCTTTTTCTTTAACTATTTACAGCGTTTTCCTCACCCTCGCCTACCCTGCCTGCAGATGAGAGTTAAGAAACCCAGTCAGAATTTCCCCCACCTTCCGACAGCATCCACTCGGGAGTGAATCCCTGCTTCCTTAGACGCCCTGAAGTGACCCAGTGCCACAATCTTACAGTAGGTTCTGAGACCTTTCCGAGAAGCCCCACTGGGATGAACGTTTTCCCTCTACGCAGCAACTGATACACGCAGCGTCTTCCACGACAGGTGTGTTTCCGGTGGTCTCTGGCCAGACGGCCTGGGTACCCCCTGTACTTTCCTCGCACCTCCCATTGGGTCGTGGGGCTTGTCTCCAGAGGACCCGGCTGACGTGGCCATTGCAGACGTGGTGTGAGCGGGCAGGCAGTCGGGTGAGCTTTGGGGACTACTGGCAAAGGACCCACTCTGAGCGGTATGTGAAGCACAGACAGTCAGCGGCACAGGGTGGCCCAGCTGCTGCCGATGCCAGCAGTGGTGCCCCGGGGAAGTGCTCCGGTGGAAGGGAGCGGTCCCTCGTGCGAGGACTCAGACGTCTAGAAGGTGAGGGGAATACCGCGTACAAGAACGGTAGCATTCACTGGTTATTTCTACGCCGCCTTGACTTCCAGTAGAGGGATGATGGCAAACTAACGGGGCTTCGTAGTCGAGGCCACTCAGTGCCTGGGCCCCTTCAGTCATCCCCTGCAGGGGGAGAGCAGACCGCTGAGGAGCTCCTAGGAGGGAGTTGATCAAAATAATATTGCGTCCTGGCGGAGACGGTGGGGGTCAATTAGTGTTGCCCTTGGAAATCCAAAAGTTGGGGGGAAGGCCATTCATTCCTATCCTAGCTCCATCTGCAGAACCCAGGCGGATCCTGGAGACGGAGTGGAGACCAAGTAGCTGCAGACACCGCGGCTCTGCAGGAATTTGCGTCAGTGGCAGAACAGTTAACGAGGACTCAGGTGCACGGCATGCAGCAACTGATGGGGGGGTTCTTTTCCGCCCCAGTTGAAAACCATCGGCAGCAGTATTCCTTCCCAGGTTTGCTCCAGGTGCAGGGATGCGATAACTCCATACTTCTGCATAGTGTAACCTAGAGGCTTACCATCAAATCCTGTTGTTTCTCCCTCCCAACTCCGTCCCGAGCCGTTCATCTCCCTTCACCGCTGCTGTTCCCTCTGCACCGCCACCACCCTCCCTAGACCACTCTGCTCTTGGGAGACTGATGGAGTACGTTATGCAAAGGAAACCAAGGAGAGTGCTCATATCAAAGTGGGTTTCTTAATCTTCTCTCTAGGGTACAGAGCGAGGATGTCCTTCACTGTTCAAGGTGTAAATTGCTAGAAACCCTCTGGATGGGAAATTTGTTGTTACCAAACAAAAAACTCAAGTGTGTGTCCTTTCATGCTCTACTCCAATGCTCACATAATAATACATCCTAAAGAAGAAATGATAGATGCATACAAAGACTCAGTTAACAAACACGCAACAATTAGGTAGAATCTAGACACTGACAAGGTCTTTCGCTCACCTGCCACAGGAAAGGGGTGCGAACAGACGCGGAGTGTCCATCCCACTCTGCAGCAGCAGCAGCAGGCGTTCCTGTGAGCTGCGTGAGCTGCAGGAGCTGCAGGACGGCGGGGCGCGGCCAGGCCTGCCCTGCCAGGCGTCCGGAGTCGAGGCCCTGGGGAGATGTCTCCACGAACAAAAGCACACAGAACTGCCTGTCCGCAGGCTTTAAAACACACAATGCCAACACAACCCTACAAGGCTCGCTCTAAGCAGGAAACAAAGGACAACTAAGAAATACTCGATACTGGAAAACAATACGACATACTACATGTACGGTAACAAGTATTTGCACCTCAAAATGTATCGTATTGGGGCCGTGTGTTTTGACTGGACAACTTACCTTTCAGTTACGCGTTCCGAGCTACACCTGCATTTCCCTCAAAAGGACACAAGAGCCCGTGAACAGCCACTTCCCACGTGAAGACGGTCTGAGCGAGGCGGGTGTGCACTCCCTATCTCCACGTTCAGCCGTCATCTCATTTCACCCTTCTCTGGAAAATCAACACGAGTCACAACCGCTTCTCCCGCCCAGTTGTTTAAAGGTTTTTATTCAGAGAGCAAAGACCTGACAGTGCACAGAGGACACGGCGGGTCGTGGGCCACCTGGCCGGGCCAGCACCAGAGGACCGAGAGGACCGAGAGCACCGTTCGTCTGCCCGTCCAGAGACCTACGGAGCTACGTCCAATCACGCTGCTCCCTCAGAGGGTCAGGCAGTGCGGGTGGCCTGTCGGTGAGGTCGGCACCGCGCAGGACCCCTCCCCCTTCCCAGAGGGTCAGCGGATCTTTGACTCGAAAGAACAGACAATCTCGAAACCTTCGCAGACGGCAAGCGGATGCTGCGGTCACTGAGACTGAGGTGTTGGACGGGGGCAGGGCTGGTCCTTCAGCCCTGGCAGTGCTGAGTCCCGGGGCCTGGTGGGGGTCGCTGCCCACCACGTAGTCCGGCTGAATCCTCCTAAAGCCCCGCGCTGAGGTAGGTGTTATCCCCTCTATTATGAACTCCGTGCCCTGGATTAGAAAGTCCAAGGACTTAATCCAAGTACGTCAAGGTCTTGATTTTGCTTGTTTTGTTGTTTAAGTTGGCTTTCCTGGTTATGTGGAACTGTTTTATTCATCTTCTTACTGAGGTTGGATGTGCATCTTGAACTGTGTCACTTACATAAAGACAGTTTTCAGGCTGACTTGCATCCTAAGGGAAAATGAAGTCGCTTCCAAAGTGGACCATGGACACCGCCGAGGGGAGGGTGGTCTGAGGGACACCGGCCTACAGTGGGTAGGCCGTAGTGACATTAATAACACCTTCCTACGATGCTTTGGGACCACACTAGTTCGTTTTATCCTAAGGTCGAGAATTTTTTAATGATCTGGTGTCACAATGAAACAATGAAATGTCAAGGCCAAAATCTGCTGTAGCTGTTGTTCGCAAACCACGTTACAGAGCAAGGTATTTTTGGTTGGTTGGTTTTCTAGTTCATTCCCTCAATTAGAAGTTTTCAATGTTTTTCAAACGTCCCCTTTGTGGTGGATCCCAAGGATCGATTTAGAAGGAAAAGTACTTGGTGAACCATTCCTGGTGGGCGGAGCCCTGCTTCTGTGGGACTTCTTTGGGTTGGGCCGCCTCCTCATCCTGGGTCCTAAAAACACCAACAAAAAGGTTCACGTGGTTTTGGAAATCAGTTAATAAACGATTTCATGCCCCACCATCTTTTCAGGGAAAACAATAACTGTCTCTTTCCTCTTCAGAACACACTGGACAATGAGCGGCTGGCGTCAGGATCTGGGAACCAGGGGTGAAGGGGACAGGGCTGGGGAGGGGATGTCTACTTCCTGCTTTGAGAATGGAAGTTTCTCTATTGTTGCACTTAAGACAATGAGGTGTATTTGCAAAATTTATTTCAGGCACAAATTGAACGATAAACGAAATCCATAAAAAAGGTAAAACAGGAGCTTCTGAGATCTTGCTCTCCAGCATACGTTGTCAGTTTGGCTCAAATAAACTCTTACAAGGACCAACAACAACAACAAAAAAAAAGGTGAAAGAAATGATCAACACAGCATTACAATGTAAAAGTTCTGTACTGTGTGCTAGCATCACAGCGAGCCTATAAAATCAGCGAAATGAACCGAAAAAGGGAAACCGTAAGCGAGAAAGTATGGTGTGCACCGGGCTGAGTGGTCTCTCGTCTGCAACCTCGGAGTTTCATGGAAAACAAGGGGAACACAGCCTTAAACAGAGGAACATGAGTACAGACGAACCGGTGAGCCGGCTCTAGCAGCTAACTCGGGGACGGGCTGGGCGCCCCGGCCTCAGACTCCTCAGCTGGGAAGCAAAGGGCCGGGCTCCTTCAGCGGCTGACTGCCAGGGGGTCCCTGCAGCTCAGCACTCCTTAAGATCTGTGCCGCCCCAGCTGTCCAGAGAGCCACGGCTAGGCAGGGCCTCGGGGAAAGGAATACGTTAGGGGTGGCCCTCTCGGAAATGCAAACTCAAAGCCCCAAATCTAAACTTTTCCCTCTAAATGAAGACTGGGTAAGAGGGAGAACGAATAAAAGGGGAACGCACTTTTGTGGAGGGGGAGCAGGCTGCAAGGCTTTCTGGAGGAATAAGAAGGCGGCATATGAGATCATCATGCGTGACCAAACAACGCCCCCATTAAGAGGCCTCAAAATGCCAAGAGGATACAATAAATCTTGAAAAACAGCCTTAATGGTAATAGGGGAAATATACTAAATGCTTCTATGCCAGGTCCCGTGGCAAGCACATCCTATGGGTCAGTTCACCTGTCTCTTGCCTCTAAAGTGAAGCTGATACAACACCTACTTGGTGAGGGAGTGGAGACCCAGAGAGGTCAAGCAACCTGCCCAAGGCCACACAGCTCCAAGTGTGCTGTGAGAGTCCATCTTCTGTGGAACCCACACTGAAGTTGTCAACTAGGTGATTCAGTGTCCCTTGTTTAATCATCCATGACAAAAAAAAAAAGGCTTTCTGGAATTCGGTACCAGGAATAGTCCCTCTTCTAAAGAATGGCACATTTCTCTCCTCTTCCACAATCTTCCCATTTGGCTGGGCTGTAATGTTTCCAAGGCAGGGCCTGATGTGCAGCTCTTTACATTGGCCCCGACGCCGGGCGTGGAACAAGTGCCAGACCGGAATCCCAATTCCACCCACTCCCACCCCGCCCCATTATGGGAAAACGGGATCGCAGCTTCTGCTCCCTACCTTGTGGCAGTTTTCACGTCTGGAGACTGCATGGGCTTGTAAGGCCGGCCCCCGCTGGGGCCCGGGTCCAAGCTGGGTGACTTGGTGATTGGCGGGGCGTGGATCCTGGAGCTCAGATCCCCACTCAGAAAGTTCTTGGCGTAGGAGGCGAGGTTGGGCACGCTGACCACTCGGCTGGGCACTTCCTCCATCTTCTTTTTCTGCTCGTATTCAAGGAAAGGCCTCTGAGAGTCACCGCAAAAGGGCATCGCTGTAACAGCCAACCACACCCACCACCTAGAACTGTGTGAGGGGGGAGGCGGCACTTTTGTTTATAGACGTCCTTATTCTTTTTTTAAAGCACTTTTCCCTCTGACCTATTGTGTGTTTTAAAAAACACAGATGGTCACCGTCTCTTCTCTAAACTTCCTGTTTTGTGATTCAAAATCTCTGTGTAGGTTGTACAAGGCCACGGAGCACCCCGGGGCCCACCCTGTCCACACACGCGTATTTCTGAGATGAAACTTACATTTTGTCATACTAGGAGGGATACGTAAAGATGATAAGTAAGCTCTCATCAGTTCAATTTAGGTTTATTATTCTGTGAGCTATAAAAAAATACAACTTTTTAAGTGCTTTTAGGATTTGTGAGAGCAGGTGAGAGATTTGTATGTGAATATTCTCATTGTAACAAATTCCAAAATATCTAGGGAAGCATGTTAAGAAGTGGAAGATCCCTGCTCTTCTCTCTCTCCTTCCTGCCACCAATTTTTATTGTAGCCACTATTAATAGTGACATGTTTATTTATAGAAAACTAGGGGAATATAAAAACCCATACAAAATTTAAAAAATTATACATCATCTTCCTAACCAGATAAAAACACTGTTTAATCATTTGGACTATTTTTTGTGGGTCTTATTTTCCATGAGTTTCCCAGCCATTGATGAATAGGCTGCCGTGACCTTAGGGAACATGAAAGCAGTAGAACTGTGTAATGCACTGGAACCGGAAGAACCAAGTTACCTTCATGGACGGGGTCAAATACCCCGGGTGAGGATGGAACGAGAAGGACCGATTCCGATGGGACATGGCGCTGGGGAGCGCTGCGTAGTGAAACCTTCTCTCCTCCTGGAACAACAACCCAGCAGAGTCTGATGAGCCCAACCACACCGCACTGGAGTGGCTGCAGCTGAAGGGTGAAACACAAAGACAGGGAAATTCCAGGGGTTGGGCCCTGGGCAGCGGGGCATGGGGCGAGGTGGGTGGGGGAGGGGCAGCCAGTGGGAATCAAGCTGCCAACTGAAGCTTTGAGGAAGCACTTTTTCTCCTGGGGTCTTGGTGTCCCCAGCCCCTTTTGCAACAAAGCAAAGGACAAGCTTATTTGGAATGCCTTAAGGGATGTTAGAAATCCTGGTACTCAGCATCTGAGAAGAGGCTACTGCAGAAAGTTACTAGTTAAGGTGCGGAAAGTTAACGATTGAGGCAAAGAAAGAAGACCTGCAGGGACAGTCACTACATGGCCAATCTGGTTACTATGTGCCATCCCCCATGCTTTTCTCGCCTTCTGTATTGTTTTTAAAGGAAATTCCGGTCATTGTACAATTTCATCTGTAAAAAGATAAGGACTCTTTAAAAATAAAGCCACAATATCTTCGTCACACTTGGCAAACGAGGATGCCTTATTTGTATCACGTAATTTTCAGTGGGTGGTCAAGTTTCCCCGATGGTCTCATTGACGTCTGGACAGGGAAGAGTGTGGCCGGGGAGCAGGGGGCAGGGCTGGGAGATGAGGCCCGGGCGAGGCCCTGCCAGCGGCCGAGAGGCCGTGGGCTCTACTCTGACGAGGATGGAAGCCTTCGGCAGGTGCTGGACAGAGCCGGCCGTGACCTGACTTATATTTTCCCAGCAGCCCTCTGGTAGCGGTGAGGTCAGCACAGGGGGGTGAGGCTCAAGTGAGGGGGAGGCCCATAATGGGCTCTCCACAGTGCATGTGGGAAGCTGTGCGGCCTGGGTCAGGGCTGCGGGGGTAGACGGCGGGAAGCGCCTGGACGTCTGATGTGGCCGAGGCGCGCTCTCCCATGGGCCATACCGACAGGAGTGACCCTATGGCCCCTGTCCTCAGAGTTGACTGTGAGGCATTAGGAGCTGTCCAATGGGGCGATGTGAGGGACCTGACACCGCGGCACGGAGCACGGCGAGGCTGGGTTAGAGCTGAAGCAGTGGTCAGAGTATAAGCAGACCTCGGCGTGCGGTCCATGGACCGTGTGCGCTGGCAGGAGTGGGGTTGGGGGGCATTTCAAAGAATAGACTGGGGGAGGGGGCGCCCAGGGGTGGCTTTGCCAACCGGAAAACAGGTGGTCATGTTTACGGAAGGAAGATCACTAAAGAAAAATGGTCTTGCCTGAATCCATTAAAGTTCCGTCATAAGGCGAGCCATTCTAGGTCTTCCTAAATTCCGTTGGCTAAACCAACCAAGCCGGTATCAGTACCGGGCAGATGCTGTGGGGCTTGGGAGTAGAGGGACGTTTTTGCTTTCTTTGTCCCTCTGTTAATTTTTTCAGTGCGTATGTATTTTTTATACAATAGAAAAAATAACCCAGGGTCTTTTGTAAGGTGGTTTTATGCTTATGAGGATTAGAACTTGAGGACCCAGTAAAATGTCAGGTGCCGAGTGGGCGCCCCCCCACCTCGCCCTGGCCCTCCCCACGCTGGCCGCCCCGCCAGCCCCACCGTGAGCTGCTTGATGATCTCCTCTCGCTCCTTCAGGCGGGTCTGCAGGCGGCCTATGAGCTGCGCGTCCTCCGGCCTGGACGCCCCCTTCCCCGGCTTCTCTCCAGACTCTTTCAGCCTGTTGCAAGCGGACAAGCCGTTAGCCCCTCGCCGCCGGCACTCAGCCACGAGCAGGGAGACGACGTGATGACGGGGGAGAGACGCCCCTGCGTGGTCCGCCTGGCCAGCCACTCTCTCAGCTCACAAAAGGGGAAACTGAGGCCCAGAGAGCCTGTCCAAGGCCTCCCAGAGAATTGGCAGCAGAGCTTGGGGCGGAGCCCAGAACCCCACCTCCCAGCGTGACCTTTGTCAGTTCCCCCGAGGGTGCACGGCCCAGGAAACAATGGCTCGTGTGTGCACGCAGAGGCTGCACCCAGTGGCGTCAAGAACCAGGGATGTTTGGAAGAAGGGGCCTCAGCGGGAACCAGGCCCACCCCTCCAGTGCCCACAGGCTCTGCTGGTGACGGCGCGGCACTGGCGCCATCTGCTGGCCGACACGGCGTGTGGCAGGCGGTAGTTCCTGGCCAGATCAGCGAGGGCTGAGCATGGAGGGCAGGTGGTACCCAGGGCCCTTGCAGCGAGCAGCTGGAGAAAGAATCCCGGGGCGGCGGGTGAGAGGGAGGGTTAGGACTGCAGATGACCTATGGACTGCCAGACAGTCGCTGATAGGAGGCTAGGACTTTGGGGTCAGATGAGTTGGGCTCTAATCCCAACTCTGCCTTTTTCTAGCTGTGACCTCGGGCATGGCGTTCCACCTGTGACCCTCTGTAGCACCTTTAAAATGGGCGTGAAAATAGTGGTTGTGAAGATTCAATGAGATAATGGGTGCCTGGCGCGTGGTAAGTATGCATGAAAGAGGAGATGGTAAAGGCTTCCGCTCCAGATTTTGGATGATTCGCTTTGTGTTAGAGAGAGTGGACACTTTTTAAGAGCTCGAGCTAAGGGTCAGACAGGTGACACTTAAATTCACTTAGTTCTGCTTTAACCTGGCCTCCCTGATGCTAACCCCAATCCTCCAGTCTCGTAGCAGCCAGAGGGACCCTGTCAAAAAGTAAATCAGATGGTGTCACTTCAGCTCAGAGCCTTGTGATGACTTCCCAGTGCTGTCCGACTACACCCCAACTGCTGCCCGTTCACTGTAAGATCTCCTTCCTCCCTCCGAGGCACCCCACCGGCCTCGGTTTCTAGCACTCACTCTCTCGCACGTTCCACATAACCCACATGAGCCTTCAGGCCGTTCAGTCTTACGGAGCAGGCCCCAGGGCCTTTGCACTTGCTGTTCTGTTCCAGGTGCCCTCTCTCCAGACGGCCCTCTCGTGCCCTTGGCTCCTGGTGCGTGAATGTCACCAAGAAGCCTTCCTTGCCCACCCTCGCCACTCTCCAGAAATGGACCCTATTTTCCTTCCTGCACACTTTCACTGCCTGACATGAAATGAAGTATTTGTTTCCTTATTTCTTGTCAGAATCTCCAGGAGAATTTGTGAGTTCCATGAGAGCGCAGTCTTTGTTTTGTTCCCTGCGGCAACCCAGAGCCTAAAGCAGTAAGCCCTCAGTAAACATTTGCTGAATGAACAGGTGGACGCATGCACGCATGCACAAGGGACCCTTGGTGGTGCTGACTGCCCACAGCAGTGACGATGTCCACCTTAGAGGGCAGCTGAAGGTTAAATGAGATGCTGCACGCTAGAAGAGGGCCAATGCTAATAAAAAGCGTAGCCTTGACCCTTCTGATTTCTTCCCCCTGGGAGGGGCAAACCATGCCCAAGAGGCAGCCACATTCCTTACAGATTCCCAGGGCCTGCATGAAAGGGGACAGGATACATTCTGTATCAGCAGTGTCATAGTATGACAGGTGACCAACCATCCCAGTTTGCGTGGGACTGAGGGGCTTCCTGGGACTCAGGTCTTCTGGTTATAAGACTGGGAGGGGCCCAGGAACACAGACGAGTTGGTCACCTCAGAAAGCGGTACATCGGCTCGTCCCTCCTAACCTGGGGCCCGGGCCTCACTCACTCGGTTTCCAGGGCCGCCAGCCGGGCCTGGAGCCGGGCCTGGGCGCTGCTGAAGTCCGCCACCAGGGCCTGCATCTCCTTCCGGTGCTCCTGGCGCAGAAGCTCCACCTCCCGGGCCCGCTGCGCTTGCTGGTCCTCCTCCAGCTGCCTGTGGGGGGACAGCAGCACAGCTCGGCTGGGCTGGGCTCTGGGGACCCACCTCCCGGGCACTGGGATGTCTGCCCACTCTGCTGGGGGGCCGTGTAGGGAGCCAGTGGGTGGGGGAAGGTTATGAGTCAGAGGTCAGGACACCACAGGAAGGAGACCTGGGGTGTCTGAGTTGCGAGGTCCCAGATAAGCCTTGCCTGCGGGACCTCTTCTCAGCACCCCTCACCCCAGCCTTCCAGGAGGGAGAATACTCTTCCTTGCTTGAAGAAGAGTTCCCTGCGGGGAGGAACAGAAGAAGCTCTGGAGGGGAGTCTGGACCGTGCTCCCTTCACCTGGGCCAGGTGGGAGAGGTGGAGACAGGTTCTGTATCAGGGTTACTGAAGGCGGGGACTCTGAGACCAGGCAAGGTGGGACGACGGGTCTGGGGACCAGCGTCTGAGCCAGGCTGCTACGTCCGTCCACGTCCATCTCCGGCCGCCTCCATCACTTCCCAGCCATGTGACCTTGGGCAAGGGATGTCCTGCTCAGCCTCTTCATCTGTTCGGCGGAGGCGACAACAGTGTCTGCCTCACACCGCTACTGCCAGGAAGCTCGTGTCCATACGTGTCCAGAACAGCCCACAGCACACAGTCTATGTTCAACCGTCAGCTGTCACTTGTCTGAACCCACTAGGTGAGGGGCCTCAGGGATCCACAGACAAGCATCAGGGCATGTCACCCTCAGAAATTAGCCATATAGATAGATAGAGAGAGAGAGAGAGAGAGAGAGCTCCTCACCCGAGGACGTGTTCATTGATTTTAGAGAGAAAGGAAGGGGGAGGGAGGGAGAGAGAGACACGATTGGTTGCCCCCCGAATGCATCTGCACTGGGGGTGCAATCTGCAACCTTTTTGGTGTTCGGGGCGACGCTCCAGCCCACAGAACCGCCCAGCCAGGGCAAGTACGTGCATATTTCTGTGTGATTGTTTCCTTCTCCCTGGAGAGGGACCGTTGCTGTTCCGGACTGGAAGGGGCTGTAACCCAAAATGGTTAGGAGCCCCCACCCCGGCCCACCTCCTCATTGCAGTGTCACGCGGCGAGTCCCTGACGGAGTCTGAGGTCTGCACCTCGGCCAGGCGGGCTCGCTGCTGCTGCTGCTTGCGTGAGCCTCTCCCTGGAGCAACTACTCCCACTCGGACAGCTGAGAGAAAACCGACAAAGTCCTTGGGAGAGAGGGACTACCAAAGTTCACTCAACGAGAAACCTATAACCCAAAAAGTCCTGTACCTATTAATGAAATTAAAGTTGTAGTTGTGACCTTTCTAAGAAGTGGGGGGAAGGGGGAAGGCCGTGAATTCAGGACTGACCATGAGCTGTCTGGCCTGGATTAGGTACTAGTGACCCCACGGTTGGCCCAGTGCTTCCTCCAGGCCGCACTTCCCTGCGTCCTAACGCAGCCCTGGTGGGGGGGTGGGGGGGGGGGTGGGGAGCATCCCCACTCTACAGAGGAGGACAGTCTTGCAGAGGGTAGCTGTCGCCCCAGCTCACTGGCTAAAGGCACAGAGCATTGTCTTTCCAAGGCCAGTTTGAGGATACTTATGGTGTCATTTGATCTGATTCCATAAATTCCCTGATTTGCATTGAAACTGGGTTTCTGCTTCTGTTTCATGGCCAATCCTCTGCAGTTGTGACCTCGACTTCCTAGACACTTTTCCTGCTACCAGGGAGTAACCTCAGTGAAGTGCTAGCATGTTAGGGAGTCTTTTCCTTGGGAAGGTGCCGAGACGGGTAACAGGTTTTAGATCTCCGAGGCTCATCACGCGGCAGTGCAGCAAGGGGAGGGAAGGAAGGAGGGAGGAAAGGTCTGGGGTCCCGCATTCCCACCTGCTCTGGTCGCGGAGCCGCAGCGCCTCCTGCTGGTGCTGTTCCACTTCCTCCCGCAGCTGCCGCAAGGCGTCCTTGAGCTGCGAGTTCTCCTGCAGGAGGCCCTCCTCGCCGCCGCTGGGAGAATGCTGGGCGGTGCCCTTGGGGGAGCCGGCCGCGCCTGGGCCGCGCCCCTCCTGGGAAGAGGGTAGCCGGGAAGGGTGTTTCCAGAAGGCGCAAAGGGCCCCCGGTGAGCGCCGCCCACCCCGGAGCTGCAGGGGCAGTAGGGAGCCACCGAAGGCTGTGTGCAGGCGCACTTCAGAGGAAGACCTGAGGCAGGGCAGTGGGCCGGGGCACAGAGGTCCGGGCTGTGAGGTCCGGGTGCTGCCCCGCTAGGTGGGAATTCTGGATGTGCAAGGGAGGGGCCAAGGGGCCGAGTCTGACCCGGAAGTTCAAGGAGAGAGGCCTTGACCTCGGGTGACGGGGCTGCTCCCGCTCAGGGGAACAGGGAGGCCGAGACAGGGGAGGGCGCAGACACTCCCTGCAGACCTGAAGCAGTGACCCGAGCGGGCGGTCTCTGAGCCCTGTCTGGTGCCAACACCCTGCGATGCTGCTGTGTCCAAATTAAAAAGAACACGTAGAACTTAAAACCTGGGTTTTCTTTACAAGAAGGTCAGCCTGCAGGCCCGCCAGGTGCCCCCTCGCAAAGGAGAAGGGTGTCCCCCGTTTGGGCTCCAGTACCCAGGGCCTCCCCTCTCAGAGCTGGCTGCAGCCCTGCCTGCTCCCAGAGGGGTGTCGTGTGGGCGGCCCGGGGCGCACACCTTGGTGGTGTCCACGTGGTCCTCGCTGTCGCCTGCACCCTGGGCGAGGGCCCGCGGCCGGTCAGAGCTGCCCAGAGTCCTCAGCTCAGCCTGCAGCGCCTCCAGGTCCTTCTGGTGCTCCGAGCAGGCGGCCCGCTGCTGCCACAGCTCCTGCCGGAGGGACTCTGCGGAAGGAAGGGCAGCGAGGTTCAGGCAAAGGGTCAAGGTGAAGGCTGAAGTCTGTCCTGGTGTGGGTGGTGCTGAAGGCTTGGGGTCGAGGTCTCCAAACGTGTTTCAAGGTAACAGTAACAAGAGCTCTATGCACAGCACACTAAATGTGCTTAAAACCCTGGAAAACTGTTTACTGAAGCCCTACAACCATCCTACCCAGTGTCGCCACAGCCCATTTGATGATGCGGAACCTGAGCTCAGAGAGGCTGAGTAAGTAGCCCAGAGACACACAGCTAGTGAGTTGTGGAGTCAGGATTCAACACGTCCAGTGGTTCCTCTCCACTCGGAAGCACCCCTTAGCCTTTTCCTGGTGAACAGGGAAGGTCGTGGGTTTCAGTGGGACGGCCTTGAGTCAGGTCGGAACCCTGAGGCGGTGTGGGCCTCCGCACCAAGTCCAGAAACCAAGAGAACAGGGAATTATCGAGTGACCAGGGGCTGGTCTCCTGGGGCTGCAAGTCTCAAGTCGGGAATTTTGACATTTATGCCAACTCTTAAGGAGACAAAACATTTACAGGTTCTCCTTTCCCTGGGTGTGAGGTTGGTGGGGTCGTGGGAGCAGGAGATGATGGCACGTCCTCCGAACAGAGGGAGGATTAAAACCAGAATCCTCCGGGAGAAAGGTACCAGCCCGCCCCCGCCCCGCCCCCTTAGCTCCGGGAGGAGTGCAGCCGGAAACTCCGACTTCTTCTCCTCGGAGGGTGGCGGGTGGTTTCCAGTCGTGCCCTCGCACAATGGAAAGGCAAAGAAAGCAGTCGTTTCAAAATGAGCATTTTCTGATAGAGTGCATGCTATTCACTGGGATATTTTTTTTTAAAGAAGATATTTTTTTAAGAGCTAGCAAATTCAATGCTTTTCTGTGAGGGACTTTTGAGACTGTATTTTAGTTATTGCAAGTAACTTGAAATATTGTTTCAGTAATTCCATAAGCCATAAAATAAGTACCCGATATGGGCCTCAGTACATAGCAAGTGCTCAGTATATATTTGTGAAATACATGAATGATGTTTAGAGGGGAGATCAATGATATAGTAAAAGTGTATTCGTTGTGAAAGATTTCCCATATGCCTACTGTGCTGCTCTCCAAGGCGTAGTATATCAAACACATGTGAGTGCTTAATATATTCTGATGACGTTGTGTTGAAAAATTTATTTGGTCATTTTTTGTCCCCAATAGAATTATAATAAAGTAACTTCAAAAGCTTTTTTCCTTTAAAAAAATGCAGACACAACCCCATTTTTTGATATCCTTTATCACAAAGTTGCAATAAAACCCTTTAGCAAAGCATGATCTGTAGTGTATTCATTATCCTCCCCTTTTCTCCCACCACCTATCCATCCATCCATCCACCTATCCACCCACCCATCCACCCACCCACTCATCCATCCATCCACCCACCCACTCATCCATCCACCCACCCACTCATCCATCCATCCACCCACCCATCCATCCATTCATCCATCCACCCACCCATCCATCCATCCTCTCATCCATACACTCATCCATCCATCCACCTATCTACCCACCCACCCATCCATCCACCTATCTACCCACCCACCCATCCATCTATCCATCCGTCCACTCGTCCATCCATTCATCCATCCATCCATCCATCCATCCACTCATCCATCCATCCATCCATCCATCCACTCATCCATCCATCCATCCATCCATCCACTCATCCATCCATCCATCCATCCATCCATCCATCCATCCACTCATCCATCCATCCATCCATCCATCCATCCATCCACTCATCCATCCATCCATTCATCCATCCATCCACTCATCCATCCATCCATCCACTCATCCATCCATCCATCCATCCATCCATCCATCCACTCATCCATCCATCCACCCATACATCCACTCATCCATCCATCCATCCATCCATCCATCCATCCACTCATCCATCCATCCACCCATACATCCACTCATCCATCCACCCACCCACCCACCCATCCATCCAGCATGTCTGGGTCCCCACCCCAGCGTATCACAGCATCTCCAGGACTCTCACCCTCTCGCCCCCACACACGAACCTGCACTGCAGGTCAGGCGTGTCTCATGCAGACAGTGGAGCAGGAGTCACTGGGCCCGGGGACACGTAATATCACTCTGTTGTACAGGAGGTGCTCCCACCCACCCAGTACCACTCAGGATGCCTATGATTTGCTATTTTCTTTATGGCCCCACAAAGCCCTTTCTTCTTGGGACAGATGCTGAGAATCCCAGCCCGTCCCTAGGGCCTCTCCTAATTGTTTTATCAGGAAAGGACCGAACTGCTGTGCGATCCGAAGGGTCCGAGAACGGGTGGCAGGGACATCTGTGCCAACAGCTGCCAGGTGTCCTGACCTAACCTTGGGGGGTCTTCGACCTGAGACATGTGGCACAACCCAAGTTTTGTCTTTTATGAGTTCTTCAGATTCTGCTAACGGTTGCATTTCCAACATGGCTACCTCCACCCCGGGGTGCTGTTGACGGGGAAATCTGTGGGGCTCTCCTCCCTCCCTCCCCCGCATCACCTCCCCCAGCAGGACACGCTGTCCAGTGAAAACCCAACCCGCAGCAGGTAGATCTTAGTCACTTGTGCAGGTAAAGGCATTGCCCTTCTCCACAATTCTCTCACGGGAGGAGCCCTGCCTGGGTGTGAAGAACCCCCTAAGGAGGCCAGCGTGGTTTTACCAGCAGGCACGGCGTAAGGAGAGGCAGCTGTGCCGCCCTGAGCGGAGAGAAGGAAGGTGAGAGTGGAGCCTGCAATGAGGAAGAAAGACGGTCTGCCAAATGGGGAGAGGCCCCCGGGGTGGGCTGGCAGCGCTGGCATGTGCAGCAAGAGGAACAGGGAGCATTTGCACAGTCCGTGTGCCGTGCACTTACTGGCGGAAATCTAACGGCAGCCCAGTGGGGCAGAGTCTGTTATTATTCCCACCTGACAGCTGAGCAACGGAGGCACAGAGCCGCGGCGCAACCCGCCCACGGTCACCAGCCAGTGAGTGTCGGAGCTGGGCTTCCGGCCAAGGCACTTTGGCTCTGCCCACCTCCGTGGGACTGGCTCTTGGTGTGGGGACTGGAGGGGAGGCGAGTTTCGTGCTGGGGACTGTGAGGCAGCAGGTGAAGGGAGCAGGGAACATGCAGGAGCCTGGAGGCCTCGGTCGCCCTGAACTTGCAAAAATCTTCAGAATGGAAACGAGAGGTTGTGGCAACCCTATGAAACGCTTACAAAGGTCCACAGGTGTGGTTTATGTTCAGTAAGTAATGATGATGATAAAATTATCTACATTCACTGGGCTCATGTTATAAGCTAGGTGTTCTATATTTAATATCTCATCAAATCTACAGTACGCCCCTACGAGGTAGGGGCAATTACAACTCCATTTTATAAGAAAGGGAAACGAGGCTGAGAGTGACCCACCCCAGGTCTCACAGCTAGTTGGTGGCAGAACCAGGAGAGTCACCCTGGCCTGTGGGCCTCCAGATCTCCGGGCCCCACGCCGCTGCCCCGGCCACCCTGAGGACCCTGCCGGCTGCGGCTGGTCACATACCTAGCAGCAGAGCCTGCTGAGCCTGCGTCCTCTCCTGCTCCCCCTGGAGCTCTTGCCGGACCTTCTCCTCCAAGGCCTGGAGCTCTAGCTGGTGTGCCTGGTGCTGCATCTGGAGGCTGTGGCTGGATTCCTTTTTCAAGAGCTCTTCTGTGGCCTGTGGGAAAAAAGTGGAAGGAAGGAGGCATAAAAGTGGGCACAGAGGGGAGACCTATCCCCTCTGCCAAGCTCCTCTTCCACGCTGTGAGCACTTGCCACTCCCTGGTGGAGGGCTTATCAGCCTCCTCCCCAAACTCTCTGGGATGGCAGTGATGGCATGGCCACAGCAGCCGTTTTGTACCATGAGAACATGACCCTGGTCCACAGCTGACTGGACCAGAGTGGACCCCTCTTCCAAGCTGGACCATCACTGGGGATTTGGTGTTAGGAGATGGGAAGAGAGAGAACAAGAAAGAGGGAGAAACAGACAGACACTGACTACATGTCCTCCAGTTTAACACGTTCAGGAAAACAGCCCTGCTGGTACCTTGATATTAGGGCTTCTGACCTTCAGGACTGTAGTTTAACTGTGTTGTGTTAAACCACCAATGTCATGGTCATTTGTTACAGCAGCAATAAGAAACTAATAGAGTTCCTTCCTTCCTTCCTTCATTCCTTCCTTCTTAAAGAGTTTATTTATTTATTTTTATAGAGAAAGGAAGGGAGAGAGAAAGAGAGAAACATCAATATGTGGTTGACTCTCACATGCCCCCTACTGGAGACCTGGCTTGCAACCCAGGCATGGGCCTTGACTGGGAATCGAACCATCAACCCTTTGGTTCTCAGGCTGGTGCTCAATCCACTGAGCCACACCAGCCAGGGCTTCTTTCTTTTCCTTCCTTTCTTTTTTTTTCCCCCAGAAGAGAGTTCCAGTTAATATATAGCCCCACTTTTGAAATCAGCAAACTGAGGCTGGGAGAGATCAATTTACTTTTCCAAGGTCACCCAGAAAAGATGCAGAAATCATCAACCCTTCCCTCCTCCCCCTTTTTTCCTTAAACAGAGGAGGAGCTGGGCTCAGAAAGGAGAAGTGACCTGCTGACTGAAGACAGTCACTGTGGAGGTCGCACGGTGACCCTGGGGCTGCGCTGTCCGGGGCACAGGCCTTTCCACTCCCCCGTGCAACCTCTGGGAACAGTGAGAAAGGCCTTTCACCAAATGCACGAGGCCTCCCTTGGGGTGGACAGAGACATCCTGGGGCCTGGGGCAGCTGCGTGAATGCAGCAGCGCCTTGCCCCGCCCTCTGAGAAAGTAGAAGGTAGGAGGCGACAGATGAACTGTGTTCGAACCTCCCTGTGGAGGGCCTGACCCTCACCACAGCTCTCCAGGCCTTCTGGAAGGTCTTTGCTGCTGAGCTGGCCTTTCTCAACTCTGGGCTGCCCTCCCCCTTTTTAGCTGCTGGGCTGAGCCTGAACCCCCAGCATGCATTGTGTCCAGCCCAAGTTAGGAAAGAAAACTAATCTTATGTTACCCAGGTCACACGCAGGTCGGGAAGACAGCACCAGAAACCCAACAGACCTAAGCCTGAATCCTTGCTTCGCCACTTCCTAGCTGTGGGACCCAGAGAAACGACTGAACCTGAGCCTCTGTCCTCAGCTGGAAAAGGGAATATGATAATAATGACCTTGAAAGACGATTGTAGGGGTTGGGGGGGTTGGGATGACGTACGAGAGGCCCCCCGCAAGCTGCGTGGCTGGGGCTCGGTCGCTGGCGGGCTTCACGATCAGCTCCCTTACCTTGAGCTCCTGGTTTTTGGCTTTCTCAAGCAGGCGGAGGGCTCGCTGGTGGGACGCCTCCAGCTGGGCCCTCCCGGCCTGGTTCTGCTGGACGGTCTCCTGGAGCTCGCGCTGCAGCTTCTCCCTCTCCTGGTCCGAGAGCCGCCGGAGCTCCTGCAGGTCCTGCCTGTAGCTGCTGGCGCACTGCTCCAGGGCCTGCTGCATCTGAGACACCTGCCGGCGGGCGGGCGGGCAGCCTGCCCTCAGCTGAGTCCCCTCCCACCTCCCGCCTGAGGGCCTTGAAAGAGGCTTTGACCCAGCTGGGCCTCCTCTGCCTGTGGGAGCTCTGAGGGGTGGGAACCTCAAGCTGCAAGAATTGGGGACTGTCAGGCCTCCTGGGGCCATGGATGCTGGGCAGGAGCAGAGCAGGACTGGGGCACAGACCACCCCAGAGAGATCAAGAGGGCAGCAGAGTGCCCCCCCAGAGGCCCACGAGGCCTCCCTCCCCTCCTTCAGCTGCTCGCTCAGCCCTGCTTCTTGCTGAGGCCTCCCAGGCGAGGCCATGTGGTGCTGTACCCCCTCCCTCATCACCAGCCAGCCCCCGGTCCCTGCTGTTCCACGCTGCCATTTGTCCTTCTTCCTGAGCCCTCCTCATCTGCTTGTGTATTATGTATGGGCTTTACTTATTTCTTGCGTCTATTCTTGATGGTTTGCACCCACCTGCCCTGCTAAAATATAAGCACTTTCATGTAGGACTTTTTCCTGGCTTGCTCACAGATAAACCCCAAGCACCTGGAGGTGTTCCTGGCTCACGGTGGGGGCTCACGAGCCACACAGGTGTGGAAGGGATGAATAAATAGAACTAAGAACCCCACCTGGCCCTGGGCCTAGAACGCCCGGCACAGCACGGGCGTGAGTCGGGCCCCACATGTGTCAGGAAGGACGAGGAGGAGGAGGTGGGTCTCACTGGGCACGGGGGCACATCCCCATCACAGCCACCCTCCTACCTGGGCCTGCAGTCTGGCCTTCTGGCCCTGCCACTCCTCCCGTAGACACCGGATTTCAGGGGCCTTCTCCTTCAGCAGGGAGCCCAGGGGAGACTGTGGGCCCCCTCCTTCCTCCAGGGGCACCGGGACCCTTCGACGATATGGAAACCAGAGTCACGAAAGGTCCTAGGCTAGAGATGGTATGGTCCCCACCCCCGCCGTGACATCTCGACCACTCAGGCTGGGGGAGCTCCCACGGCAGGTGGTGGAATGAAAAGCATCTTCTTTGGATTAAAAATAGCCTGACGTACAGCCTGAAGTGTCATTGCCCGTGGGATACAGTCAGGATATAGCTGGACCCTCCTGGTAGCTGTTTTAGTGGGCACTTGATACATGATGACCACCCGACAGGGTGACCAAGCTTAGTCACTTTTGCGGGGCCCTTGGGGGCCCCCCTCTGGAGGAAGAGGTCTCCATGGTCTAATTTCACAGCTCTTCCTGCTTAGGAGAAAACTGCAACAATAATGCTTCACTTGAATCCAGTACTTCACGCCTTTCAAAGCATGCTCTTAACTTTTCCTGGCTGCCCCCAAGTAAATGTGGGGGATAATAAACAGGCCTTTACAATGTAGCAGGGACAGGAAGATGCCGGTTTAAAGCTGCAGTGATTTCTGCATTCTAGAACAGATGCCCCCAAATGTCTTTGGAGAGACCTTCCAATCCCCAATTCTGAACTCGTGAACCAGCTGAGAAATTCAAATGTAGCCGGCTGAGGTTGTAATGTTAAGTATTTATCCCGTTTAACAATGGAAAAGGATGCCACAGGGAGGACATCTCAGGGCAGAGGTCGCTGAAATGTGAATGGTGCTTTGCTCCCTCTGGCAAGGACACCGGCCAGGGGGCCAGAGCCTAGGAAGGCAGGGCCCTGGATAATGAAGAAAGGCCACGGGAGGGGGGTGGGCCTGGCTTGAAAGAGGTGAGAAGGCTCAGCCACACGGGCACAGGCTGGGGGTTGAGGGGCCTCTGAGAGGAAGGGAAGGATGCCAGGAGCCGCCCAGCAATGTGGTTAAAAGCTTGCATGCTAGAGCCAGACTGCTCAAGTTCAAGTTCAAGCTTTACTGCATATGTGACCTTGGGCAAGATCTTTAAGCTATCTGGGCCCAAGTTTCCTCCTCTATAGGGTAGTTACGTCTTCTTGATGCGTTGCCCCTTTACCATCATGAAATATCCCCTTTAAAATCCTGCTACTACTCTTTGTTCTGAAGCCTACAGTGACAGTCCAGCCACATTAGCCTCCGCACGTTTGATGTTAGCCTGGCACAACTCTTCCCACCCTCTCGCCTTCGAGCCCGTGTGTGTGCCCGCATCGGGGCTGCCACGGCAAGGCACCTCAGGCTGGGGCGCTGAAAAAGTACACGTGTATTTTTTTTTCCCAGTTCTGGAGGCTAGAAGTCCAAGATCAAGGTGTCCGAGGGTTTGGTTTCTTCGAGGCTTGCAGAGAGCCACCTTCCCATCGTGTCCTCACACGGCGGCCCTTCGTGTTACCTGTGTGCCGCCCTCCTCTCCACGGAAGGACACCCGTCCTATTGGAGGAGGGCCACCCCAGTGACCCCATTTTTAACCCAGTCCCCTCTTTAAAGGCCCCATCTCTACACACAGTTGAATTCGGAGGTGCTGTGGGCTAGGGCCTCAACATATGAATTTTGGCGGGGGCACAATGCCGCTTGTAACAATGTCTTAATATTTCAATGTCTCTTTGTGGGTAGTGGATAGTAATCTCTTGCTGTTTCCTCCTGACAGTCTCTTTGAGATGGTGTGTTCATTTCATTTACATTCTAATTATTGAGATGGTTGGGCTTAAATCTGGCCATTTATTTCCCATTTGCCCAGTCCTTTTTCTTTTTCTTTTTTTTAAAGATTTTATTTATTTATTTTTAGAGAGGGAAGAGAGGGAGATAGAGAGAAACATCAGTGTGTGGTTGCTGGGGGTCATGGCCTGCAACCCAGGCATGTACCCTGACCGGGAATCGAACCTGCGACACTTTGGTTCGCAGCGCATGCTCAATCCACTGAGCTACGCCAGCCAGGGTCCCCAGTTTTTCTTATTGTTGTTCTGTTCTCCCTTTTCTGCAGTTTGTATCCTCACCTTATCACAATCTATGCAGTGTTAACATGGTACCTCTTCGTGTAAAATGTGAATCCCTTACAAAGTATAATTCCTTCGATCCCACCACTGGCCCTGGGCCAGGGCGGTCATGTACTGTCCAACCACTGTGCATGCATTGTGAGCCCCAGAACACGATGTCAGTGTTACTATTATCATCCTTAAGCAGCTCAGTGTCTTTCAAAGAAATTAAGAGGAGAAACAGTCATCTTTTATATTTTTTTACACATGTACCATTGCTGATACTCTTAACTCTTGCCTGTAGATGTAAGTTCAAATCTGGTGTCATTTCCTTTCACCATTTATCATGCTGCAGGTTGGCTGGTGAAAAGTTACCTTGGCTTTTGTGTACCTGGAAATGTTGCTATGTCACTCCTGGTTTTGAAGGATATTTGCAATGACCCCCTTTCATTGCCCCCCAATTCCCTCACATCCCAAGGAGCCCATCCCATCCTGCCACCCACCATCACAAAGCCAGTCACAGCCGACCCTCCCGATTTCCCCCACCCATTCAAATTCATTTTAGCCCAGCCAGTGTGGCTCACTTGGTTGGAACACCCTCCTATAATCTGAAAGGTCGCAGGTTCAATTCCTGGTCAGGGCACATGCCTCGGTTGCAGGATTGGTCCCCTGCTGGGGCGCATACGAGAGGCAACCCATTCATGTTTCTCTCCCTTCCCCTCTCTCTAAAATCAATAAGCACACCCTTGGGTGAGGATTAAAATAAACAAAAGCAAAAAAAACAACCGATCCTGACCTGCTCTCCCCTACCTTAAGTCACAGCCAATGGGAAAGCCGCCTCCCTTTTAGCCAACAGGACAAGAAGCCCAGTTTCATCACCGTCATCCTTCACGGGGGCAACCACTGACTGTGCAACCCCGCCCCCAAAGGAACCGCTGCACTGGTGTGGTCCCGCAGTCCCTGACTTTAGATCTCAGACGACTTTCTCTCCCTTCCCCCTCACTACTTAGCTCTTCCACTCCCACCGAAACCCTGCGTGAGCAACCTCCAGAGCCCCATCTCCTCATTTGCTTCTATACTGAGGACGCCCCCTCACCAGTATAGCCACCATGGGAGGAAAAGCAAGGCTACTGCAATCTCCACCTTCTGCTGGCCTGCCCAGCATCCTCTCCCTGGGAGAGTCTGTCCACAGAGATCCTATCTAGTCCACAGGGTCTGGGCACATCTAACTCTGCCCCCATTCCCAGCTTGCCCCAGGGAAGGACATGGGATACCTGCCTGCCAATCAGAGCCCTCCATCTGCTAAACCGGCATGACTGGCTCAGGAATGGACATGTGACCCAAGCTGGGCTCCTTAAAGACCTCTTTGACATTGCTGCTGGTATTTCCAGGGAAAAAGAAAGGGAAAGAAAGATCTTTCCCTCTGGAATCATGAGTTCTAAACAGGACAACGTTTGTGGCTGCCCCTGGTAAAGCGGTGGTTCTAGGACTTCCCCGGGGGGCCGGACTCCAGAGGCCTCCCTGCCCTCTTTAACTGGTGCCCTTAACGCCCAGACGCTGACACGGAACCCGGAGGATGCTACGGGAGGGTCGTTAGCTGGAGCGTTCATTCGACTAGAGGGTGCCTGACACCACCACGGATGGGCTCATGGGCGCAGGTTCTGCTCCCCAGGGCTAGGGTCTGAATGTCTGTGGTCCTTCAACCTTTATATGTTTTAACCTATTGCCCAATGAGACGGAGGCTTTAACAAGTGATTAGGTCATGAAATGGAGCCCCCATGATGGGATTCGTGTGCTCACAGGAAGAGACCTGGGAGAGACACAGCTCTCCCCCCGCCCACCATGTGAGGACACAGAGAGAGGACAGCCATCTGCGAGCAGGAAGAGAACTTGCATCAGGAAGCGAATAGGCCCACAACTGGACCTTGGGCTTTCTGGCCTCCGGAACTGTGAGAAGCCAATTTCGGCCACCCAGTCTATGGTGTTTTGTGACAGCAGCTCGAGCTGACAAGACATGAAAAGAGCATATTCTTCCCTGCCCAGTGATATTAGTTTTGGCCATGCGACTTGCTTTGGCCAGTGGAGTGTGGGGAGAAACAAGAGAGTGCATTCTGAGTGTAGGCTTCAAGAGGTAATGCATATTTCCACCAGCCCTTTGAGCTTCTTCCCGTTGCCACGACAACAACATGCCCCGGTCAGGGACTAACCCTCTAGTCTCCATCCCAGAGTGAGAAGGCCTGTGGAGCAGACAAACTCTACCCACGGTCCGAGGCAGGCAGTGACACCTGACCCTCAGCCGCATAAGCCCAGCAGAGCTTGGCAAAGCCAAGAATCAAGGTGGCTGGCCTATGAACTAAAAATTACTGATATTTTGAGAATGCTTGTTACAGCAGCAAAAGGTGACTAATACAGCTGATACAGACAGGAGATACCTCCTTGGGGACAAAGCTCCTTTGTCTCCCCTAGTTAAAGAACGCTTGGAAGGACAGGAAACAGAGGTTGGGGCCAGCCCATGTTTGAGTTTTGGTCAGGTTTACTGACATTTTTAAGTTTCAGGTTCTTAACCTATAAAATGGCCTTTCAGGGTTGGTGTGGCAACTACATGTGACAGTTCAGAGAAAGCCCACAGCTGTGCTGAAGACATATGAGATTTGCCTGTTCCCTCCTTAACCATGATGCAAAGGGCAGTGATAATTCCTTGAGGACAAAATGAATGAATGAATGAATGAATGAACGAACGAACCCTTCCCAATCCGAGTCCTCATTCGTGGGCGCCCTCAGACGTGTGCATGTCCCCCTGTACCTGTCCTCTTCGTCACTGCTGGCCCCTTCTTTAGCTGCGATCTTATCTTCATACTCTTCTCCCCCGGGCAGGGTCTGAGAAGGCTCATTCAGCACCAAGCATGGATCCTAAGGCAAAGACAGTCGCAAGATGAGACTGAGTGCAGTTCCCCGATCCAAGCTGTGACTTATCAACGCAGAGAGCAGAGGAGAAAGAGCCCCAGCAACCCAGCCCTGGAGCGCGGCTCGCAGGCCCGGAAGACAAGGCCCGTGACGCATCAGCACCCGGCTCAGCGGCTTGGCTTGGGAGCCGGATCAGGTCCTCGCGTCCTGCTTTCCAGGCGACCGGGCATTTCACAGGCTGACGGAACTAAGACACGGAGAGTGTAAGGAACACGTCCAGGGTCCCCCCATCTGTGAGTAGAAGAAATGGGATGTGCCATCAGGCGACTGGACCCTGGGGCCTGGATGCCCGACCCCCTCGTGACGCGCTCCGTGTATGGCCCACAGAGCGTGGGGCCTCGCTGGGCCTGCTTCTGGGCTGTGGCGGGGATCAGAGAAGGGTGCCGGCCACAGCCACGGCCCATGGTGATCACACCCAGTCCGCAGGTGGCAGTCTGTGGCATCTCACTGAAAACATCAGGAAACATGGCACCCGCTGAGAGAAGCGGGGTGTGGTGGGAAGAGAAGAATGTGGGAACTGTGAGTTAACACTGAGGCTCTGGGATTTTCTATGAACTGAATCTGTTCACGTCATTCTCCCCTTCGCACAGAGATATGGAGGCGAGAAAGGCTTTCTTAATTTGATCTTTCCATGTGTCAGGGTAACTGTTGACCACGAAAACAGTGGAGCAAGACAGACCAGGAACAGATTTCTTTGTTCAGTGCCACCCCCCCCCATCCCCAGTGGCAGGGCCCAGTGAGTCTGGTTCAGGGCTGCGCCCTCTCAGAAATGACGCTCCTGACCAGCTTACAACCGTCACGCGGAGCTGAGGCTAAAAGGCATGGTGGGCGTTAAAAGTATGTCAGAGATCTCTGATTCCTATAAAACCCAGAAGCAAATATCATAGCCTAAGCAAAACAGCTTTGGGAGACACAGTTATAAAGATAGGTTTGGCATAATACAGAAAAAAATTGCACCATATACGTGGAACCACCACCGCCGAAAGTCAGAACAGCATAATGCTACCATGTCAGTAAGCAGATGATGATTAAAGTTAATCAGGTTCAGGTTTCCAAAGGAAGACGGAAAGTTATAAGGAAATTTTGGTAAATAGAAAGCATAAAATATGTTGGTCAAAATAAAATTGTACCAGTCATCATGAAACACATGAACTGGCTAATTTCTTTGGTCATGGATAGCTATCCTGATAAAAGAAAGTGTTCATTAAAACACTCTAATAGCCCTGGCTGGGTGGCTCAGCTGGTTGGACATTGTCCAGCAAACCTAAAGGTTGCCGGTTCAATTCCTGGTTGGGGCACACGTCTAGGCTGCAGATTCGGTCCCTGGTTGGGGCAATACAGAAGGCAACTGATTGATGTTTCCCTTTGGTATTCATGTTTTTCTTCTCCCTCTCTTTCTCCCTCCCTTCCCTCCTCTCAAAATAAAAATGAATAAATAAAGTTTAGCAAAAGCACTCTGATAATGAACCTGTAGGCATCTAACAATACAGCCTGAAAACATACAGCAAAATGTGCAGAACTGTAGGAAAAAATGGGCAAACGTATAAGGGGAGATTTTAATATACTCCTCTCAGAAACTGATACATTAGGCAGAGGCAATGCACTAGCAAATGGAAGATTCGGACATGATTAAAAAGCTAAAACTAAACAGCTAAAAAAAGAGCCTACTAATCACTGCTAACATTTAAATAGTGCTTAGGGTGTGCCAGGTCCTCCCTGTATGAGGGGGGCACTGTTACCCCATTTCAAAGGTGACAACAAAGGCAGGAGAGGATCCGTAACCTGCCCAAGGTCTCATAGTGAGCATATCACAGAACTAGAATCCAAATATGTGTACTTTAACTACCAACTGAGAACACGCCTTTTTTCTATTATGTAGGGAACATTAAAAAAAAAAAAAAACCTGATCCCACAGCAGGCTACAAAGCAATCGCAACATAGTTCAAAGTGCTGGTATTCTGCAGACCGTGTTATCTGGTGACAATGCAACCAAATTAGAAAGCAACAGAAAGTAGGTTATAAAAAAGGTAAAGTTCAAAACTCTGAACTACAGCTAAAGAGAGACACTCCGTGGGAGATTTACAGCCTTAAACGTGTATGTGAAAAAACACAACATTTAAGAAGTCAGAAAAAGAAGAACAGAACAAACCTAACGTAGAAGGAAAGAGACATGACAGATACAATTAAGGACGCAGAGAAAACAGACCTGACCCACACATCGGGAAGCTGGCTTTTTGAAAAACGCATCAAACCGCTGGCAAGCCTGGTGGTCCGGGAAAACGGGAGAAGGAACTTGAAGCCACATGAGTCGTGGACAAGGATGTCCTGTCCGTTATTACGAAATGAAAAAGCTTTCAGCTGGACTCCAGGCCACTGTGCGGACTGCGGAAGGGCAGGGGTGCGATGTAACTGCTGAGCCGCCTCATCGCCCACCTTTAAAGGCCCCCTGGGCAGGAGTCCAGCAGCGGGAGCGGATGAGAAACGCTGGGAGAGCTGACGATGCACCTGGACGACGGCCCTGACCCCCGGCTACGGTGCACTGGTCTGTTTCCCCACCGTGACGCGTGGGTGCCTGTGGCTCTCTGAGGGGGCAGGGAAGACACTGCGCTGCTCCCGCGCTGCTGCTGGGGGTCAAGGATGGGGAAAGGTCAACGGCTCGTCTCGGGTCTCACGGCCACGGGAAGGTGGCACGAGGACTGGACCCCTGGGTTGTGGGACTCCCATCTTTGTCCTTCCATGTCACCGCTCCGGCACGTGGCTGTGCCGTGTGAGCACGATCGCCAGCTGCCAGGATCAGGACCTGACTGGCTGTCATTTCCAACCGTGTTGTCACAAACGCGCTGCCGAGACGCGTCTGCACAACAGACACTCGGAATCAGCCTGAGAGGTGAAGGCTGTTTCCCACACCGACAGGGACGTGAACTGCGTGATCCTGTGTCTGGTCACGGTTTCCAGGCCCCAGGACGCCAGAGACAGGGGCGTCCTTCCCAAAGGAGATGAATGTCACCACCCGCTGTCTCCCACAAGTAACTAAATGCCCCCGTGTTCTTCTAAATCATCCTCCAGCCAAGGCAAAGTTTTGAAGACGTTCTTTTTTTTTTTTTTTTAAGATTTTATTTATTTAGTTTTTAGAGACGGAAGGGAGGGAGAAAGAGAGAGGGAGAGAAATATCAATGTGCAGTTGCTGGGGGCCGTGGCCTGCAACCCAGGCATGTGCCCTGACTGGGAATCGAACCTGCAATGCTTTGGTTTGCAGCCCACACTCAATCCACTGAGCTACGCCAGCCAGGGCTGAAGAAGCTCTTAATCTAACCTTTTCACTACCAGGACTCAAAATGGTACTCACAGTCTGCTTGTTCACTTGCCATGCCCTGCATCAGTTTGAGTACCAGAAAGCGCTCAACTGCAGCCACACGCAGGTGTGTGAGGAGCAGGAAGGATAAGGACTGATAAAACACGGTTCTTAATTTCAACAAACTTACGGGTCAGTAGGGAGGCCAACAAGCCTTGTAAACGACAAAAACAGTCCCCTCCCCTCTCTCCTACACTTTGTGTGCCTGTGTTGTGGATCAAAGTACATCATTCAGAAGGAGCCAGGGTGCCATTTAAATATTTCACAAGTGGACTTGGCCATGGAGATCAAGAGCTGGCGGAAAGAAGGCTTTGAAGCCCACTGACACTTGCTTCACTCTTCTCTGCTTATCCACTTGGATGCACCCCAGCGAGTTCCTCCCGGCGCCGCTGACCCGCGAGGGTGTACCCTGAGTTGTCCACCCCTAACTCACACTCCTGGGGTCCCCATCGGGCATTTCCTCAGGTTCAGCTCGGCACTCTCTCTAGTGCTAAAGTGATCTGAGCATACACTGTGCTCAGAAAAATAAATCATTCTCCTTCTTTCCAGCCACCCACCACAAGAGCCTGCTCCCTACTCCTCCCAAGCGCGCGGCTGATCACTTTCAGCCCGTGTTCACATTAAGTCTCCGGCTTTCATCCTCGAGGCTGTTAACCTCTTCCGGATTGTTTCCCTTTCAGAGGAGCACCCGCACCCAGGACGCCTCCCGGAAGGGAATTGTCCAAGTCATTCTCAGTCTTTCAAAGGCGCCTCAGGCACATCTGAAGACAGAACAGCTAATGCAATGGGGGTTGTGCTGAAATGATTCCAGGGGACTGTGATAGATACTATAAAGCCATCCTACGTTTACAGAATGTTTAAGTTAAGTTTTGAAAAGTGCCTTTGTGTGCTTTCTTCCGTCGATCGCCACAAGTCTCTGGGGCGTGGGGGCGGGATTATCACTGCCACTTTACTAATGAGATGCACCAGAGTGACGTGGCTGATGGCACGGGCTCTGGCGCTGCTCTTTGGGCCTCGGTTTCCCCGTGTGTGAAACGAGAATAATAACAACACTTGCCGGACAGGGGTGCTGTGGGACTGCGTAAAGCGCGGTGTGCCTGGCTCATGGGCAGGGCCTTACCTGCGTCGCCACTAAGAGCCACGGGAAGCCACGCTCCGGGAGGGCCTTGGACTTGCCTGAGGTCCCCGTGCAGGGGTGCGGTACGGCTGGGGTGGAATCCGTGTCCTAACCGTAGGAGTGGCTGCCCTCCTGTGCCGCCTCCCTGGGCTCCAGCAGACCTCAGCCTGTCTCAGCCTGGACCCTCTCCAGGGAACGGGTCTCCAGGGCAGCCCACCTTGTTCCGTGCTGGATGGAACCAGACCCCTCAGCTCCCACCACATGGAGCACAGCAGGCCCGTGTGGCCTGACGACGCTCAGGACATCAGGTGTTTAAGGGCTTAGCGATCATTTGTCTGCTCACCCCCAGGCGTTGACGCCCAAGGATTCATGTGATCCTCCAGGTTTGGTACAGGGTGACGGCTGCACGGCAAACCGTACCGGGTCTCCTGAGAGCAGGGGACACTTCTCAGGTCTGGGGGAGCTTCCACACACACCTGTCTCCCTTCCCACTGGCCTCGGGGTTTTTGCCTTGGGACCTTTCACAGTGCTCCTCCCCTCTGCCATGTCCCTTCCTGGTAAAGTCACATGCAACCTCAGTATCCAGGCAGGTGGCAGCAGGTGTCACTGGTCTGGGCAGAAACCTCCCTCTCCCCTACCAGCTGCACAGGCATCTTCTTGTCATCATTACAGCATTTCTCAGACAGTTGTTAGGTACACAGTGATTTCTCCCATTTGAAATGGAGTTCCCCAAGGACCTGGCCTGGGCCCCACTCACCCCAGCACTCAGCCCGGAGCCTTGTGGGGTAACAGCCCTCAGCTACTTGTTGAGGTGAAATGACTTGGAGAATAATTAGCACAAACAACTCTCTTTTTGGGGGGAGCAGATGCAAGCAAGAAAAATCTATGAAAATGTCAATATTCTTTGCCCCCAGTTCAGTGCAACCCGGGTACCAGAAGAGTTTTCCAGAAAAACGTTTCCCTTCATAATCACTGAAATCGGCTTTCTGGAAACCGGTGAATCAAGCTGTGATGCTACGGGGCTCAAGGAGACCCGACAGAGGAGACCAGGACAAAAGGTTCAGGGAAGTCCCTGAAACTTGGGTGCGGACAGAGAGAGACACCGAGCTTTGGCAGCCTTCCCTGGGCGAGTGGAGCGAGAATTTGGCTCTCAGTTGGCATTGTTACTTATATTTCCTTGACTCACCGAAATGCTTTGGCAGAACAGCTAAGGGGATAAACTGAAACTCCTGAGTCTGGAACAAGCTTAAATGTATAGCGCCCAATCCAGGGAGAATGTCACTGGAGAAGCTGGCCTTTTACGCCCTGTTTTGAGACCCCTGTGTCCAGCCCCAGGTCAGCCAAGTCCTCGAGTCTCCCGCCAGTGGGAACGCAGGCAACTAGTTGGGAATGAGGTTGCTCAGCCACTGGACTGCACCCTAACCCTCCAGAGTTCTGTATTATCTGTTATCACTGAAGTATTATCTGTAGTAGAGCAACCTCAATGGCCATCAACAAGGAAGGCCAAATATATTATGGTTTTTCTGTTCAAAGAATACCAGGCACTTGTTCTTTAAAAAGTAATAATAAAGTTGACATGGAAGTGTACTGATATGTTACATCTCTAACCTATAAAAATTTAAGTCAGAGAAAGCAGAATGCAGGAGCGAATACTATCATTTGTGGAAAAAGCGCCTGTTTACACAAGGTATGGCTCTGCAAGGAGAAATAAAAACAAGGAACAAATAAAAACGGAACCAAACAAACAGTAGGAAACCAGGGTGACAGGCATGCTTTTCGTTGTATGCTGGCTATACCCCTTGACTTCTGCACCGTGTATGGAGATTGCCTGTTTGGAAAGGAAGTTTAATTTAAAAGAACGAGACCTGCAAAGTGCATGCAAGTTGCCTGACAGAGTTCACAGCGCCAGATGACTGATTCTGTTACTGCATGTGCACATCATTGGGAAGCTATTTGTTTGTGCGTATTTCTTCCCTGTAACATCTCACTCAGAGGCCAGCACGTCCTGGGACTCCATGAGTGAGTGACAGTGGCAGGAATGAATAACGTGGACGTTAAGTTGAATCCAATGAAACTGCTGCTCACTGAGGTCCTCCCTACTGCCCTGTGCAGCCAAGGGTCCGCGCTTCTCTCTGGAAACCGAGCTCCGTGAGGGACGAGCTGGGCAGAGGCAGGAAGCGGGACCTCCTGCAGTGCCTCCCGAAGAAACCAGCCCTGCCGGCACCTTGATGTTGGACTTCCAGCCTCTAAGACTGTGAGACACCACACGTCTGCGGTGTAAGTCCCCAAACGTGTGGTGGTTCATCACGACACACCTGGGAAGACCCTATTGCCTACCAGAGCTGGACAGAGGAGCGCACGGGCCCAGGTTTCCACCCCGGGGCAGTGTCCCCAGGAGGGCGGCGTGCAGGGCACCAGGGTGGGAGTGACTGAGACCAGGGATGTGGAGGGAGGTGGCAGGGGGTGCTATGATGGTGTTACGCTTTGCGCTGAACAGAGCCAAGGGCCCCCCGTGGAGCCCAGGGCCCCTTTATCTGCCAGGCCGGCTGCTCTCAGAGAGCGGGGGGCAGATGCATCTGACAAGGCTTGCTCTTTTTCAGACCACATGAGTTACTACTTAGAACTCTGTTCTGTTCGTGGCTTTTGCAGAAGGATTTTGCAGTGATTTTTTTCCCAGGCCTATTGGCAGCTCTGAGGTGGAAAATAAAAAGCCTATTAATACCAGCGAGTGTCTCTGGGGACGCCGGAGTGTTGAAACAGAGAAATACCCTTAATTAAAACGGAAATAGCCAGGGCTTACCTGGGTCTCTAAAATGCGGTGGTGCGGGCAGTTCCGTTCCTGGGGTCCCTCCTCGTCTCTTTGGGGGCACACCTTGTTCTGCTGGATAAACTCTTCCAGCCTTAAAACCTGGAACAGAAGAATGGGAGTGCTCAGCGATGGAACCAAGGCACGTCTCCTGGGTGTGCTCGCTAACCTGGGAACCCCTTCTCCTGGGCCCCTCCGTTCTGGGGGCAGTGCCCCAGTGGGCAAATTCCAAACATGCTTCCAGAAAGGCCAAGTCTGGTGAGCTGGTTGCATCGTCTCTTCAGAGGAAGAGGAGCCTGGCCGGTCTGCAGGAGTCCACACTGCCCTTACAACTATTTACCTATGTGGGTCTGCACTAGAGCTGTGGGGGCGTTTTCATTGGCTTTCACACCATTTGTACACTACTTCTTTCTTTTTAAAAAAAATATTTTTTATTTACTTGTTTTTAAAGAGAAGGGAGGGGAGGGAGAGAGACAGGGAAAGAAACATCAGTGTGTGAGAGAGACATGAGGGAGACACGGATTGGTTGCTTCTCACAGACCCACCCCCTGGGGGCCTGGCCCACAACCCAGGCATGTGCCCTGACTGGGACTTGAACCAGCGACTTTTTGGTTTGCAGGCCAGCACTCAGTTCGCTGAGCCACACCCGCCAGGGCACTATTGCCGGGGAGCAAGGACATCTCTTCACACCTTCGTTGTCATCTGCTCAGGCTCAGGAGTGAACCCTGTGTCCAGCCCCTTCTCCCTAGTCGCACACACGACAGCTCTTTTAAACTTCGACCTCGCTCTCTCGGTGGCCTGGACAGGTGGGCTCGTGAGGCAAACTCTCATTCTTCTGGTCTACTTCCAAGGCCTGCCCCTTGTCTGCCTCCGCCGCAGAGGCCTGACAGCTGACTCCTGGCCTTCCCAGGCTGGCCATGCAACAGAGATGTCAGCCACGCGCATGGGAGTCAGCTGAGCTTCCGCAAATGCCTTTGGACGCCTGACGAAGTGGGCAGGCCCGGTCATGCCTGCTGCCCCCTGGTTCCTGGTTTAAACTTGGACCTGACAACTGGAGCGGCAGCAGGCACTTGGAACGGAGCTGGCCTCTCCATTCGATGCAGTGGGCACAGTGCCCAGGGCCCACGATCCTTTTAGAGGCCGTGGAAAGTTTTAATTTATTTTAAAATCAAAAGAAAAAAAAACACACAACCTGGCTCTTTTCATGTGTATATGAATTCAGTCATAATATATAATTTCTCATTTTTTTCTTTTGATAAAGGAAAGAGGCCGCCAGGACAAATGTATCTACTGCCCAGAGAAGTGATAGGGAAGCCAGGCGGAGGGGGAGAGTGGGAGAATCCGGAGTGACCAGGCCCGATACCACTGAACCCCAGGGTCGACACCAGCAGCCTCCTGCCTGCCTCTCTCAGGTGAGACAGTGCCTCTCCCATGAGCCTCTGTAAACCGGGCTCTCTGCTACTTGCGGCTACACTGATGCCTCCTGAGACAGCTCTCTCGTCCTGCGGAAGTCCTTCCTTTTGTTTCGCCCCAGGGTGCTGAGTGTACTAATATTGGGGCCCGTTCCTGAGTGCTGGCATCTCAGCGAACCAGCAACCCTGGGGGCCTGGAGCCATGCCGCCCAAGCGCCACGCTGACTCGGGACTCACCTCGAGCAGAGAGTTCTGCAGCTTCACATTGAGGGCCGCTTTCTCCTCCTCCAGCTGCTTTATTTCACTTTCCGACTTCTTCTTCACTTCCTCCAACTGCGCCTCTACTTCCTAAACGACGATGAGGAGAGTTACCCACGCAAGGCACAAGCCACGGACAGGGCACACGCTGCCTTGTCCCCAAAGGGGTTCAGAGAGGGTGACGAGAGTCACACGATACTGCAAGTGAACATGAACTAGAGAAGCAGGAGAAGGTCAAAGAGGGGTTCAGTCCATACTGTGAGGTTTGGTACGCATGGGGAGGGCAGGGGAGACCTCTGGCTTTCTGTTTTTGTAGCATCAGATAAGAAAAGAGAATGCTTGTTGCTGACACAATCCTCTGTGTCCCATCAGTCAGAAGGCCAACTACATTCTCAGATTCAGGGAAACATGAAAGGCAGAAGGAAATATGATAGTATTTGATGGCAGACAGTGATAAACTAAAGCTGCATGTTATATCGACCAATCCTAGAGCAACCACTAACACATTCTCCTAAAGAAAAAGCTAATAAGTCATTAGTGGAGATAAGAAAGGGAATACCAAAACTATGAAATAAATCAAAAACAAATGGAAAAAGAGGTAAACACAAAGGAGAACAGAAACGGCAAGTGAAAACACAGCAAGATGGTAGACAATGATAATTATGTTAAATGTCAATGGCCTAAACGACCTCCAATAATCAGAGAATGTCGAAATGAATTAAAGGGTAAGACCCAGGTACCCCATAAGAGCACTTTGACTAGAAAGGCGCAGGTAGATTAAACGCAAAGAAATGGATTAAAGCACCTGCAAGACCAACCACAAAAACAATGGAGTGTCGATGTTTTTATCAAAGTAGACTTCAGGACAGGAATTTTCACAAACGATTAAAGGCCCAGCTCATTAAAAAGACATAATAACCCTAAGCGTGTATAATCTAATGATCAAGTCTGACTTTATATCAAGCAAGAGCCAAGGAGAAATATCAAGTTTGAGATTTCAGCCCTCCGTTCTCAGGAATCAACAGCACAAGCAGGAAGGAGTGAATGAGGCATGGAAGCCTTGAACGGCGCCGCCAGCCAGCACAACCAGCCCTCGCCCACAGAGCCCTCCGCCCGACAGCAGCAGACCCACGTTCTTGTCAAGCGCAGACGAACCAGCCCTCGGGCTAGACAATGTGTGGGCATAAAACAGGATGAATAATTGAAAAGCAGTGAAAGTATACAATCCACTCTTTGACCACAAGGGAACTGAATTAGAAATCAATAGCAGAGAGATATCTGAAAAGGTCCCAATATGAAGCAACATGTTTCTAAACAACCAAGAGTCCTTTCGGAGTTGATGGAAATGAGAAGTGGGGAACATTTTTTTTTTTTCAGAAGATCATTCCCATTTATAATTATTTGAAGTAGAAGGCAGAGGCCTAGACTGGTTTGGGGCGGCTTCTTTAAGGATTGACAGTGAGTCTGTTTCCCCAGACACAGCGCTTCTTACACACTGGCTCCAGCCTGGTGCTTGAGGGCCTGTCTTGTTGCTCCTACGAGAGACTTCGAGTTCCTTGAAGGCATGCGCGATTCCTGTGTCTCTGCACTGCTGAGAACGCCCCGGGCACCCCCAGTAGATGGTACATAAAGAGGGAATGGAGAGAGGCGGGTGTGGACCTGCAGGCTGCCCCCTGAGGCCCAGGGCGCTGCGGATTTTGTTGCACCACAAAGACAGAGGACAAATGTGTGTGGCTTGGGAGCCAGGCAGGCCTGATTCACATCCACCTGTGTCCCCCTCGTCGCTGCGTGACCCTCAAGTGACTTCACCTTCCAGGCTCCTCCTCTGAGAAACAGGAAAACCCCCGCCTACAGGGCTGAGATAAGGATCGAATGATGGAGTGGAAAGTTGTCCTTCCATTTGGCTTCCTAGCATCTGATCCTCTTCTAACTGTTTGGGAAATGCTCCCCCTGATACATCCGAGTCCTCCTTCCACCACAGAACCTGAAAACACCAGACCGACTTTCCCAGACTCCCTTGCAACTAGGCCTGGGCGTGTGACTGAGGCTCCACCGCTCGTAGGCTCCCATCCCAGATTTTGAATCAGAAGCCGTGGATACGTGCAAGTGGGAGGCAGGCAGATCTGGCAACTGCAGTTTCCGGCGCAGCAGGACAGGTCATGCCAGAGCAGCACTGACCAGCGAAATCCGCGACGCTGGAAATGTTCTAAACCTACTGCAGCTAATGCGGAGAAATCGCGCAGCGCCACGGCCCAACACGTGAGTCTCTAGCAACACACAGCTGTGAGCGCTTGAAATGCAGCTAGCTCCCCGAGACACTGAATTTTATGTTTTATTTAATTGTGATTAATTCGATCGTAAATAGCCACGTGCGTCTCGTGGCTACCATATGAGACAGCGTGGTTCTCCAGGCCGCGTCCAGGGCCCGGTATTGGTGGTGTCAGCCGTGAAAACGGCAGGTCTGGGCTCAGAGGGGGCAGCAGGGTGTCCCCATCAGTCTTGCAGTAGATTTGGGGCATTCCCGGCTGGGTCGCTGCCCAGGTCCCTGGTCCTCCAGAAAACCACTCATTATTACTTGTCACTAAACTCCTTTCCTGCCTCACCTGCCCAGGGTGGGTGTGTGATGCTTGCCACCCAGGGTCCTAAGTGATACAGATGAGACGGGGACACAGCAGTATGAGCACAGCTCAGGGGGGACTCAGTAAACTTTCCCACGCTCTCCCTAGGAATCTGTGTAGGCAAGTGCTTACTGTAGCATGTGTAACCTGCTCTGTCAGTCAAGGTTATGTGATAACAGCATCTAATTCCGTGGACAGGGAGCCCAGACAGGCCTCCCGGGTCAGCTCCAGCCCATCCCCCGTAGTGTCTTCTTCAGGGTAAGGTAGCATGTAGGATACACAATATACCTACAGCAAAGCACTCAAAGCAAGAGTGCCCTCTGAACTCCAGAGGGGAACGTGTTGTCTATTTTTAGCCCACGACCCTGGATTTGGGGCCTCTTCAAGGGCTTAATTTATATAATTTATTTCTTCAGTTTATAGAAATCACCAAAAAGTAAAAACCAAACCACACGGCTGCAACCCCCAAACCCAGGAGGAAACACAACGTATTTCCACGTGATTCATTTCCCAAGCAGACTCATACCCCCCGATTAAAGCTGAAGTGGGATTTCTGCACCGAGTCAGGCTTGGTTGATAGGTTACCAGGGCAACCTGCAGCTCTGGGAGAGCTACTGAACCTCCCACTGACTGTGGCTCGGGATGGAAAGAGTGTTCAGCTGGAGTCCGGGAACTGGATTTGTGCGACCAGCCACAGCTCACGGGGAGAAGGATGCTTTCAGTCCAGCTGCTTCCCACTCAGCACACGGTCGGGAGACCAGGGGCTCTGCAGTCAGGCTGTGCGGACGTCACGCTGCCTCCACCCCTCACTGTCTATGGGAGCTGACACAGAACCTTTTTCTCACCTCTAACATGGCAACACAAATGCCCATTCTTTTTAATATTGCTGGGAGGATGAAATGTGTTCCTAAGAATAAAGTGCTTTATAAGTACAAAGTATACTGGGTACTAAAAAATATTATCAGACATGATGTCATGCAGTGCACATGGTAACTAATCACAGCCGCTATTTAATAGAACTTTTACTGCATCCCATGCACTGGGCTAAGAGTTTATAGATAATACTATGCTCAGTCCACATAATAAGCCCTCAAAGCATGTATCCTTATTCCAGAGCCAGGTTTCAGGGAGGTTAAGTGACCTGTCCCTGGTCATGCAGCTGGTGGGAGAGTCAGGACTCGGACCCAGGACTAACCTGGGTCTTTCATGAGTTCGTTTATTTACCCGACACACGTGTATTGAGTACCTACCACTCTCAGCCATCACACAACACTGCAGTGCCACGTGACATGTGATTCTCTCCCAGGAACACTCAGAGCTGAGGATGTGGGCTCTTGGGTTACAAAGAGGCTTTCCTGTAAGACGTGGCTCCCCATTATCTGCAGTTTTGCTCTCTGGGGTGTCCGTCACCCACAGTCAACTGCATTCCAAAAACACTACATGAAAACGCTCAGAAATAAACCATTCCAGTTTTAAGTTGTGCGTCTTTCTGGGTAGTGTAAGGAAATCCCCACCACCCCGTTCTGCTCTGCTGGGACGGGAACCACCACCCTTTTGTCCAGCGTCTCCACACTGTGCACGCTCCCCGCCCGCCAGTCCCCTGGTAGCCGTCTGGGGTAGGAGATCCACCCTCACGGTGTCGCGGGGCTTGTGTTCAGGTGACGCTTATTTTACTTAATAATGGCCCCTGAAGCCATTCACATAACTTCCATTACAGTATAGTGTGATAACTACAGTATATAACTATACTGTGCTATGATATCATTAGTTAGTGTTGTTAATCCCTTACCATGCCTCATGTATCAACTAAATTTTCTCATCAGTCTGTACGCACAGGAAGAAACACAGTGCATCTGGGGCTCAGGACTATCCACGCTCCCAGGCATCCCCTGGGGGGTCCTGGGATGTATCCCTCCTGAATAAGCGGGGAAAGGATTGTGATTCAAGCATCACCTATGTTCACAATAATATTTACACTTCGCTGTTTTCCTGAAACATTCACATAGGTTACTGGCTTTCCCCGGCAAACAGGACAGATGAGGCTTCATACTCCTCCTGAGCAGAGAGCCCCCGCTTCAGAGAGAGGTCGGAACAGTGCTGGAAGCTGAACATCTTCCCCCCAACTTCCCCGCCTTCTCCCCAGGCAGCTGGCTGACTACCTGCCTCTACGCAGTGCTTGGAAAGCCCCAGGCACTATTACATGCTTTGCTTTTTTCACCCGGATCACCTCATTTAATCCCTGCAGCTACGCAGAGAGCTGCTGTTATCACCCTGTTTCATGCCCGAGGAACTGAGGCTCGCACAGGCTCTCTCTCAGGGCCTAGGGCAGATAAGTGCCGTGGACACAGAGCTGCAGGCGGGGGGAGCTGGGATCTGAGTCCAGGCAGTCAGCCAGGCCCGAGTGACGGCTTCACGCCCTCTCTCTCCGACTGTGCTGAGTGCAGGTGCATGTTCCTAAGGTTGGTGCTCAGATGCCACAGTTCCACCCCCTGTCCGTGACCCCAGCCCATGGTCTGAGGGTGTCCCCCTCTCCTGCAAAGCCCCCGAACTCCCTTTGGACAGAGAACTAGCTTGCCCCTGTGCACGGGAGGAGCTCAGCAAAGGGTTTGAGGGAGGAAAGGAGAGAAAGGAAAGACGCGAGGGAAAGAACAGGACGCGGAGGGGCGCAGGCGCGGATCTCACCGTCCGCAGCCGCCTCCTCTCGGCCTCCACCGACGAGCGGACCGACTTGATTTCCGCCGTGTGCGTCTTCACCAGGTCTTCCAGGCGCTTCACCAGCTGCTCTTTGAGGTGTTTCTTCTCCTCGTCCGTCTGGCGTTTGATTTTACGAAGGTCCTCTTCGTACTGTTGCTTCATGTGTTCCGTCTCCACACGCGCCTCTTTCTTGGCCTATAAAAAGAGCAGGCAACGACCGCTTCTCCTCCGTGCAACCTTTACCGTTTGCGTGCTGGTTTACAGCCTGTTTCACAAGGCGCAGTCAAGTTTATGAGACTGCGTATTTGATATTTGTCGGAGACTTGACTTTACCATCGGAAAAGGGCCCTTTGGAATAGCGTGTCTGTTGTCACAGGATCAGATACGGCAGTGGTTTGGCAGGGAACGTGCAGTAGGAATCCTAAGCAAGTTTCCAGTTTGCCAGGAGTCAAAGAGAAGGAGCTGGGAGAATTCTGCTACATTCTCAGCCTCCCAGTTTCAAATGACATGAAGCTGGCGGGACGTCAGCTGGAGCTCAGCCCCACGCACCCACCCCCGGAGCCACGGCACCTGCTGCTTCCAGGTGAAGCCACTGTGGTTGCAGGTGGAGCTCTACCCAAACCGCGCGCACTGCAGCGGAGCCTGCTGTGCCTTCCCCGCCCCCAGGGCTGGGTCACACGCTACCTGTGCATCCGGGCCTCCTTTCGTGCACGGACATTCCTTGGGCAACTTCTGATCCTGCTGAGCGCGGGGACTGCGGGATTCCAAGTCATTCGCTTTCCCCAAGACTTCATTCTCTGCAATTCGCTCTGTCTTCGTGTCATCTGTAAGCAAAAGTGTCAACTTCACTGGGAATGCCCTTGGCCTTGCCCTCAGCCTGAGGGCTTCTGCAACCAGGTCCCCATTCTGCTTTGAATGATTTTGCCCACCACTCCCCTGTGTATCCCTGCTCTGTGGCCTCCTGGGCCTCAGGCACAGTCAAGGCTGTGATTGTCGTCTTTGCTCAAGCAGCACCCTGAGTTCAAAGAGAGCTCTCCCTTCTTAAACGGCTCACCTCTAATTCTGGGATTGTGTTCTCCACAGGTTAAAAAACATTGAACATGTTCCTGGAGATATGTACATTCAACGGGTTTAAAGTGAAGGGAATTGAAAAGATAAGACAAAAATAAATATTACCAAAATTGTTCCCTCTTCCCATATTCCCCGAGGTCCTCATTCCCTACCTCTGAGCCCGCTGCTCTGACGCTCCACACGCCTCTGTTCCAATCCAAACCTCGGCTCCTCTGTACCTGTCCAGCCCTCGGTGCCTCTTCCTCTCCCTGACACTCACTCTCCTGCTGCCGGGCCCCGTCCGGGATGCCAAAGCCCTCTGGGGGCTGTACTGTAACTGTGCTAGATGCTTCCCGGAGGCAGAGCCCGGGCTGCGTGCCTTTGCTCTCTCTCCCAGTGTCAAGCTGGTCCCACTGTAGGTCGTCAAGAACTTTCTGACGAGGGAGCCTAGTGGGAGGCACTTTGGAGTCAGATATTCTTAGATACAATCACCAGCTCCATCCACAACCAGGTTGGTTGGCCTTGACCTAGCCATTTAGCCTTTCTCAGACTTATTTCTTCATCTGTACCCTGTGATTCCAACACCACCAATCTCACAAAAGTATTGGGAAGACCCTACTATCACAGCACTGTGTGCAATGATGTTAAAATATAAAGTGCACAGTGGTTATCAGAGGGGAAGGGGCCGGCGGGGGGGGGGGCGGAACGAAGAGGGCCAGGGGGTCAAATATATGGTGACAGAAGAAAACTAGACTCCAGGTGGGGAACACGCAACAGAGCAAGTATACAGATGCATTCATTAAGTTGTACAATTGCAATTTATGTAATGTTATTAACCAGTGTTATCTCAGTAAGTTAAATATTTAAAAAGTACGAGGTGTTGCCTAAGTGTGGGATAGAGGCCAGTGCTGAGGGCTTCGGGCACTACGGTGGCCCGATGGGGAAACATCCGGGACAAAGGGGTCCTTCTCCCTCACGCCTTCTAGATATCCGGCCTGTAGCAGTGCCAGGTGTTGGCCCCCCTGTGTGCTCCATGGACCAGACTGGGCCGCTGGGTGGGTCAGACCAAACAGCCCTGCCCCTCCACTCTGCTGCCCCAACGGCCTCCCACCTGGCGACTAACCTTCTGTCTGTAAGGAAATTGTTCTAGAGCATCTCACCGGCTTTCTGGGTCACGTGACACTCCTGCAGCATCAGCCTGTCCTTGGCCACGGCCAGCTTCTCCCCAAGTTTTTTTGCAGTGCTCTTCAACTCCGAATTCTCCTGCCGAGCCTCCTTGAGCTGCACATCCAGGTCCTGTATCCAAAGACAGACAGACAGGGCCTCATGTCTCTGGTTCTGGTTCTGGGCAGAGACACCCTCTGTTCACAGAACTACCATCAGGTCGGAACGGTGGGGAAGTGCCCAGCATAAGCCCTTAAGTCTCTGCGATTCAGTGGCTCAGGGTCCATCACATTCCCTACTCATCCTCTGATTGGCCGTACGCCCTTCGGGAAGTGACGGAACCCTTCTGTGGTGAGGATCAAATGAGATAAAATCCCTGGGATAGAAAAGGATGCTCAGGGAATCTTAGGAGCATCACCCACAGCTACTTCTAGGGATGGGGCTCTGGAAGTCCGTGGGGCTCATATACTGACGTGGTGGTCTGGCTCTCCACGAATACAGAGCCTCAAGGTCTTTCAGGACAGGCGAGTTGTTACGGAATGAGCAGCGTCTCTAGAATGAGGCTGACCTGAGTGCACAAACTTACCAGCAGTGTGCCCCGCTAGGCCAGTCCCTACGCCTCTCCAATTCGCTCTTGTTTTCCTATCTGTAAACAGAAGTCTAAGCTCTCTGAGGTCAGAGACCAAGATCTGCTCACCATGTGTCTCCTGCCCCTAGCCCTGGCCTGGCTCACGGTAGACGTTCAATAACTACACGCTGAATAAATGTGGTTCAACTCGACGGAGATAATAAAGCTCACTTTGGTAGAAGTCAAGTGCTTTGCACAGCGCCTGACACATAGCTGGTGTTCAATATTAGGGGTCGTGCTTATCCCATGGATTAGGTAGGGAGGGATCCTACGTTACCTGAATCCTTTCCTTCAGCTTCTGGGCGTACTTCTTCAGGTCGCTTATCTTGCGGCCTCTGTGCTCCAGGTCCCCTTCCAGCTTCCGGACCTGGGCCTGCAGGGCCGACTCCTGGACCTGGAAGTTCTTGCGGAGGTCGGTCTCCTTCTCCTGCCACTGCCACAGGGCCTCACTCACCGACTGCTGCATGGCCTGCCGGATGGCCTCGTTCTCCCGCTCGTAGCTGGCCTGCAGCTCCTCAGCCTTCTGGGCGTAGTCCTTGCTCAGCTGCTGGTTCTCCACTCGCAGCCGCTCCACCTCCAGCAGGACCTCTTGCATCTCGGGGCCGGCGCTCGGCTCCGTCTTCGGGTCGGGGCTCTCCTGGGGCAGCCGGCCCCACTGGGGCGCCTCGTGGCCCATCAGGTGCCGGAGCCTCTTCTCATAGTCAGCCTTGAGCTCCAGCATCTCCTTGGAGAGGGTGAGGACCCGCTCGGCGTGCTCCGCCTCCACCCTCAGCTCCCTCTCCTTGGTCTCCAGCCTGCAGCTGGCCGACTGGGCCAGGGCCTCCTGCGTCAGCCTCTTCTGCAGCTCCAGCGCGCTCTCCAGGGCCTGAATGCGCTGGAGCAGGGCCTCCTCCTCCTCCGCTCGGCCCTGTCCCTGCTCCTGCAGAAACCTCGCCTTGGTCTCCGCCACCGCGTTCCAGAGCTCCTCCTGGTGGGCCTCCCGCAGCGCCTCCATGCTGGCCTCAGCCTCGTCCTGGCGGGTGTTCAGGGAATAAATCACCTGCAGGAAAAGCCACAGTGAGTGAGTGTGAGGAGTGCAGGCCCGTGGGAGGGACCATGTGACCAGAGACGCTCCTCCTCAGTGGTGGCCACTCAGGCCGACCCCCACAAGGGGCACCTGTGAAGAGGGCTTGTGTGGAAGTGATTTATTAGGGATGGTCCCAGGAGGAACCAGTAAGGGAACAGGGAAGCAGCACAGGGTGGAAGCGGGGAAGGGGTGAGATTGCATAACGGCCCCCAGGGGGCGTCTGTGGTAGCGTTCCCCAGGGGACCCCTGCAAGGTGCCATGGGAGCCCAGCAAGGGGTTTACAGCTCTGATTTGTTCAAAAAGAACAGGTTGGGATGTAGAGCACTAGCAAATGGAGTTCGGCTATTGCTGAATTACACACCATGACCAAGTGGGAAACTGTGGAGTTGATTTAACATCTGAAAATCACTCCCTGTAATGCACTGCAGGAAGAGAACAAAGGACAGTAGAATAGAACAAAGGATAAAAGCCCCATGATGGTCTCCGTAGACACTGGGCAAGCATTTGACAAAATCCAACACCCTTTCATGATAAAAACCACTCACCAGACTGGAAATAGAAGGGAACTTCCTCAACTTAATAGAGGGAATCTATGAAAACCCCACAGCTAACATTGTACTCCATGGGGAAAGACAGAGTACGTCTCCATAACTTCAGATACAAGACAGGGATGCGTTGTTACTGTGTGGAGAAGAGAATGAAGGCAGGCAGGAGCATGGGGGGGCCCATACATAGTAGATACCATACACAGAAGGTACTCACACACAGTAGGTGCTCATTACATAGTAGGTACTCATACACAGTAGGTGCTCATTACATAGTAGATGATGCAGACCCTGGCTCGTGGGGTCCATGTCATTATAGATGAAATCTGAGACCAATTCACATGGGCTACCGAGTCCAGTGGAGGAAAAGGGACAGCATGGCTTTTCTCTCAAGGGGAGCAAAAGCCTCAGCCCTTGCTCCAATGAGCCTTTATTGTCTTACTGGGCACATTACAAGAAGGTCCTCATTAACTATGCACAGGCTTGCTTTAGCTGGTTACCTTATACAGAAAACAAAGGAGCCAATGCCGCTAATCACATCACAGAAGAGGGATATTTGCAAATGAAAAGGCAAAAGTAGTTGGACCAGTTACACTCAACCTTGGAAGGTTTAGCATGGTTTTTAGGGAGTTGCTTTGTATTAAATGTCCTCAATTCAGGGTGAGGGAGTCTTAGCAAAAAGCAAGACTCATAGTGGCCTAGGTACAATGCAGGCCTGCATCCCCACAGGAGAACCTATCTGTGGGTGTGGGTCCTGTGCATCTCCCATTGGGAGCTGGGCCCACGCCATGCAGAGCGGCTTCCCACATCTAGATACCATACACAGTAGGTACTCATTACATAGTAGGTACTCATACACAGTAGGTACTCATTACATCGTGGTACTCTACATGGTAAGAACTTACTAAGTGTTTCTTCCTTCTCTCTTCTCACATTATCCCCTCAAAAGGCAGCATCCCTTGTTCTTGGAAACACCATGTCTGAAGTTTTTGAGCAGATTTTGAGCAGATGCACCCTTTTCTGGGTTTGCTGCCTCACAGGTTACCTGGCAACCCTTCTCCTGCCACCTCTTTGCTTGCTTTTACTCACCACCTACTAAACTGAAACATCAAAGCAAGTGCCCCTGACTCGTCTATAAATCCACCTTCTCAGGAGGCGGCCGACTTCAGAATCCATCAAGGGACATGGATAATTCAGCAGCCAGGAGAAATACTGAGCAAGTCAGTAAGTCTTCCTGAGGGTTTTAGAAATGCACTGGTTTGATTTCAGAGACAATTTCAGCCGAGGGCCTTTTAAAGTCCTAGGGGCTGAGTATTGCAGGCTTAACCAAGCTGTAATTAATGGATTCTGAGCACCAGATACTGAGGAAACTTCCTATCAATCTGGCAGCAGGAGTCAGGGGTGAAATGGAACAGAAAAACAAACAAACAAACAATATGTGTTGAGTACCCAGAGTATAACACTGAGTGAGTAATACACATTATGAGAGAGAGAGAGAGAAGGAAGGAAGCCAATTAGTACCTTTAGAGGTATTTGCGTTGCTCTGCCAGGAGTCTGCAGGGGCGCAAAGAAAGGCAGGTGGTAGAAAGATCATACTGCTCAGTAATTCTCCCCCTTCTTCCTGCGTCATCATTAACAGATCACTCCCACCAACACACAGAGATGTTCTGTAACATTATCACTAACAAAAATCCTTCTTTTGGTCCCATGCCCCCATTTTTCTGTAACCCTTTAGAGCAAACTCCTCAAACACTTTGTTTATAGCCATCATCACTAATTCCTCACCTCCTCTTCTCTCCGGGACACTTCCCAATCAGGCTTTCAAGCCAACTCAATAATCCGCCAGAACAGCTCCTGCCTGCTTCACGGATCACCTCCTTGCTGCTAAAACAATAGCTCCTTCTCACTCTTCATCTGCTCCCCTTTTCAGCAGCATTTGACACAAGAAATCATTCCTTCTCCCTGAAACACTGTCTGCTCTTGGCCCCCAGGACATAATACCCTCCTACTGATCACCAAACAATCCTTCTTATCCTCTGGGCTAGTTCCCCTCATCCCTCTTCCTCCAGATGGGCGTGCCCAGAGTTTAGGCTTCAGACTGCTTCTCTTCTCTGCAGACATTCCCCGCGGGCCTTGTCCCATCTCCGGATTTTCTACAAGGTTTATTTGCTCATGACTCCAGTTACACCTGTCACCGGAACATCAAACTCCTATGGTTTACCAAAATCTCCACTTGGATATCTAACATGCATGTCAACTGTTATTCTGTTGTTGTTGTTGTTTTCTTTTCAAAATCTGCTCTTCCTACAATATTTCCCATCTCACTGCATGGCAGCGTACTTCTTCCAGTTGCTTAGATCAAATTTCAGAGTGGACCAACAAGCACAGGAAAAGATGCTCAGCATCACTCATCATTAGGGAAATGCAAATCGAAACTACAGCGAGTTACCACTTCACATCCATTTGGATGGCTATTGCATACAATAACCAGGAAAGAAGCACTGGTGAGGATGTAGAGATATTAGAACCCTGGGCACCGCTGGCTGGGAATGTGAAATGGTGCAGCTGCTGTGAAAGTGACATGTGGTTCCTTAAAGACGTAACCATGGATTTACCAACAATCCAGCGATTCCACTTCCTGAATTTTTGGTTCCAAAACAACTGAAAGAAGGGACACCCTCATAGCGTTATTCACGCTGGCCAAAAGGTGGAAACAACCCAAGTGTCCATCAACAAATGAATGGATAAACTAAATGTAATATATACCCATACGAAGGAATATTATTCAGCCTTAAAAAGGAAGCCTGTCACATGGCACAGCATGGATGCACCTTGAAGACATTATGCTAAGTGAAAGCAGCCAGTTGCAAACAGACAAATTCCATACGATTCCGCGTATACGAAGTTCCTAGGGCAGGAAAATTCACGGAGCCAGAAAGGAGAATGATGATTTGCCAGGGACTAGAGGGAGGAGGGAATGGGAAGTATTCAGTTTGGAAAGATGAAAACTTCTAGAGGTGGTGGCAATGGTTGCATAACAGAACTATATGCTTAAGATGGTAGACCTTGTTATTTATATTTTAGCACCATAAGAAAACAGGGAATAAAAATTTATTGGAGTCACCCTGTCTCTCACATCCCACATTTACCCCAAAAGCCCGTCCCCAATCTCTTTGCTCCTCATCATTCCATATTCCCCTTCGTCTGGGGCATGGGCACCTCTCACCTGGACCCCACAGTGGCCTCTTAATCCTTGTTTCTGTCTTGCCACCCAGAGTCTGCTTGAAGTCAGTCAAATGATGTCCCTTCACTGCTCAAAACCTTCTGGTCACTTCCCAGTGCACTCGGGAATAGTCAGAGCCCTGAATTTGGGTGTGGAAATGCCCAGGAAGTGAGAAGGTCATGCAGTTGCTGTCCCTTCCTTTATGGAAATGGCTCAGAACTGGTCCCAAACAAGGCTAGGCATTCCTGGGCTCCAGAGAATGGATTTCTAGATGGAGTGTAAGACGCTAATTAAAATCTCACCCTTATGCATCAGAGAGCTGTTGCTAGGCACCTCGCTGCACCAGGCATTGTGCTGTTAGGCATCTGCTTCTGAGCAATTGAAGGCCAGCTGTCTCCCAAACCGATTTAGAGGGAGACGTAGCTGAAAGGTAAGGGCAGCCTCCCCCGAAGGCTCTTAATTCCAGCCCCTGCTCTCACCAGCCCAGGCGAACACTCACATGGAAACTGGCCTGCCTGCCTTCCAAGGAGTTTCACCAGCTGCATAAGATGTGGGACCAGGAAAGGGACCATCCTGTCTGTCTTTCCAATCTCGATGACTTGCTTACAGCTTTTTGGAAAGCGAACACTAGGGATAGCTCCCTCGGTCAGCCAGCCTGGTCAGCAGATATGCGTATGCATGCGTGATACTTCTCTGAATAAAGCCAGTAGAAAGAAATCTTAACACCTCTCACAGGAAATATTTTGACAGAGGAGAAATCCAGGTAGGAGCATCAAATCTTGCAAGCATGCATGCAAACAAAATTGTGTGAACTCAAAAGCAGAAATGGCCACTCTTCAGGTCTACCTATTTAAATTGTGATTTTACAAATTTAAATTGTGGAAGCAGGTTTTGTGGACAGGTCTCTGTAGACACGCATATCCGCTTGTTCTGTATCAATGACAGAATAACGAGGGCTGTTACTGTCTCTTCCCAGCTCACAGAGCAGCTTTACAAGGCAAACCCCACAGCACAGAAGGTAAATATATTGAATGCCCATATTATGAATTTTTGCTTTCTCCACTGTTCCCTGGGGGTGGGGGAGGGATCTCTTTAAACATTTTTCAATCCATTTATTGTATCTTCTGCATAATCCTCAGATAAACAGTATGTTTCAAGCTAAATATTCTTGTCCAAGCAACACTTTAACAAAACCCAAAGATCCA